CAAGGGACTGGGATGCTAGTATCTTAACAAGCTAGCAAAAGCTGAAGTCTTGAATCTTCCAAGCAGGCCTTTTTTATGCTATGGTCTTGACTTCGCTGCGGCACGGCAGCGGCCCAGGAGCCCGCTGGAAGCGCCTAGTGTTTCTCGGCCCACATGCGTTCTTAACACCAGCACTTTAAGGCAGCCGGTCGGCGATTCTCGACTCATTACCGTCCTAGTATCTGGTGAGGCGCTGAATGAGGTTATCATATGTATGTCATGCCTCACCCCTACAAATCGCACCCATTCATACTTACAAAAACTAGCTGAAGACATGCCAACAGTATACTGGGTGACTGCGGATATACATGTTATCTGGATCGTCGAATTATGCGGGAACCTTCCGGCTAATTAGAGTTGTAGACCTGCGTGCCGAGTATACACAAGACGGACTTAAGCTGTGCCACAAGCCTGCAGCGACTGAACGGTCAGCGCTTACTGTTGACTAGCTCCTTCGCCACGTATTGTTTATTTGTAGAGTCACATCTCACTCCGGGAGGATATAAGGCACAGTTGTTTGACAGTAAATTGAACGCGTGGTTCTTGCTATTTACGTGATTTCTCCACACAAAGATACGATGGCGATTTACCAGACGCTCCCGGACGAAGTCCAAGAAGTCGATGTGATCGTCGCGGGAGGTACGTGTCAATCCTACTCGACGATGAAAATATTCTTAGCCTGACGGTTTGCTCTCAGGTGGTACCGCAGCATGTGTTGTGGCAGCCAGACTGGCAGACGCTGACCCAAAAACCTCAATTCTGGTCATCGAACAAGGACCCAATAACTTCGACGTCCCAACAATTGTACATCCGGCCCTATTTATGAGCGGCCTTATGCCAACCAGCGACGCTACTCTCTTCTACCAGGGAAATACTGAGAGCCAGCTGAATGACCGACAGCTCATTGTCCCATCGGGAGGAACGCTTGGTGGAGGGTCGTCGATCAATCTTATGATGTATTCTCGAGCGCAGCGTGTTGACTTTGACTCGTGGAAGACTCCTGGCTGGGCCACGGAGGAGATGATACCTTATTTAAAGAGAGTGAGTGATGTAACGGCAACGGAATCCCGGAAGCCTACATCTCGACCAAGCCCTCCTCCCTAACAGCACCCAGCTCGAGACATATCATGGCCCAGACCCACATGCCATCCACGGATCAAACGGACCGATCAACGTATCTGGCGGCACATATCGTGCAACTCGATCAGAGCAAGACTTTATCGACGCTGCAGCTAAAATCGGCTACCCCGAGATCAAAGACCTAGCGGCTTTGGATTTCAACAACGGCGTTCAGCGCGCACTGCGCTATATATCTCCGGAAGGAAAGCGCCAGGACGTAGCGACGACATACCTACATCCAAAACTGCAGAGTGGCAAGTATCCGAACTTGCATGTTGTTGTGGAAAGTCAGGTCAAGCGGGTGCTTTTTGAGGGGAAGAAGGCGACCGGTGTTGAGTTTAGACCGAACTCAAAGATTCATCCAGGCGGTACTGCACGCGTGGTAAAGGCCAAGAAAATGGTAGTCGTCTCCTGTGGAGCTCTGGGTTCGCCGTCAGTCTTGGAAAGATCTGGCGTCGGCAGTCCCGAGATCCTAAAGAAGGCCAAGATAGATATAGTCACCGACCTTCCAGGCGTAGGTGCCAACTACCAAGATCACCACCTACTTGTCTACCCATACCTGTCCAGCCTGGACGAGCACGAAACGGTCGATGCACTGGTTGGCGGTCGCCTAGATCCGACCAAACTGATCAAAGACAACGCGCCCATTCTCGGCTGGAATGCAATGGACACCACATGCAAGCTGCGACCCACTGAGTCCGACGTTGCGCAGTTAGGTCCAGACTTTGAACGCGTGTGGAACTCAGAGTTCAAAACCCAGCCAAACAAGCCGCTTGCGCTGGGCTCTCTTATTAACGGGTGCCGTCTACCCACACCCCCACAATTTCAACCAAGCAAAACTGACTGTATCCAGATTTCCGGGCGACCCTTCTCTCGTCCCAGCAGGTCAGTACCTCGCCATGTCCGTCTTCACCGGCTATCCATACAGCCGGGGATCGATCCACGTCACCGGGCCCGAGATCGACGACAAGCTGGACTTCAACACGGGCTTCTTCTCAGACCCACTTGGTGTGGATGTGAAGAAACACGTGTGGATTTACAAAAAGCAGCGCGAGATCTTCAGGCGCATGAAGACGTGTCGTGGTGAGCTACCGGGCGGGCATCCGACTTTTCCGCCTGGGTCCAGTGCGGTATATATTCCGCCGAGCAATGAATCAAAAGAGGATATCCAGGATATCGTGTACTCGGCAGAAGATGATAGGATCATTGAAGAATGGGCGCGTGGACATGTGGAGACGACGTGGCATTCCATGGGGACGTGCAAGATGGCGCCGCGGGAGGAGGGCGGCGTTGTAGATGAGCGATTGAATGTGTATGGATTGGAGGGGCTCAAGGTAGTTGATCTGAGCATTCCGCCTCTGAATGTTGCTGCGAATACGATGAATACAGCGGTGGCTATTGCGGAGAAGGCTGTGGATATGATTATTGAAGACTTGGGTTTAAGAGCTGCATAGGCGAGTCGTGTTTCGCTAGAGGGCCTTGAGGTTATCTTTTTGCGCAGCTCCAGGACTCGTTCAATGAACCCCTGTAGGTTTAATCAATTCACGTATTTTCCGCCATACTTTTTGCAATGCAATGTTCGTCGAGAAGTCATGGCCCCGTTGGTGTTCTTACAAACTGTGCGAAATGGCCAAGTCCTTCAATTGTCATCCTAACATGCTTCGTGCAATTCCTCGACGTGATTTTCTTTGACTTTTAGCCATGCTTGCGATCTCTTGATATAGGTCATATGATGTCTTAGAAGATAATTTGCATTGCTGTTGCTGCTGAACAAGTGTATCTTCGGAAGTACGGCATCGTGGAGGCGGCATCCCTCCCACTGAACTCGATGTCAGCAAACGTGGCGAGTCGAGGACGATGGTATCAAACAAAGGTCAAAGAAACACAGATCATAGCAGACTCGTATAAGTGCAGTGTATTTGACTGGTGTTTAGTTACGTTCCACTATCTTCGGTAAAGTCAGGATTTCAAGTAACGTTGCCCTGTCCCACTAGATGATGTATGCTCCCCACTTACCCCGCTTGACTCAACACCCACATCATAGCCACTCCTTTTTATCTAATGATACTCGTCGGTCGCGCCCAGATGCCCCCTGGTCGCTTTCTTTATTTCAATGAGTACATTAACTATATATTTCTGTTATTTGTCATCAATCAGCCCATAGGCACTTTGGTTAGTTCCTCCAATCCGATCTCTGTCTGATCTCATCTAACCGAATGTCCAGGCGGAGTGGTCAGTTCTACCCAATCCAATCAAGAAGTGCTGTTTCTAACAGTTACTAAAGGTTAACGCGCTGGCCTGCTAGTCGTTCTTCGGAGCGGAAGTTAGCCAGTTCCTTCGGGAGCGTGTGTTCGAATCACACAGGTGTCGCAAAATACCCATTTTTTTTGCGGATTCCGCTGGTTCGAGAAGCATGTGGAGAGGACGTGGTCATTGTTTTTGATCCACCTTTACATGCTGTCCATCTATCCGTATCTTTTGCATCATAGTGCCATTTAATTGTCACCCTGAAAACAAACCAGAAATCGCTGCAGCATGTTTGCGACGTCTGAAAGAAGTTCACTGCCGTTCCTATATCATGTCTTCGGTCGAATGTACATGGCGCCCAAACTACCAGCACTGAAGATCAGGCAGACCCCGGTGAATATGACGACCGCCTGGTACATACCATGACCATATCCAGTGGACGACTTCGAAACCGACAGCAAGCCGGCGCTGATTGGACCCGTCATGATATTACCAATGCCCTTCCCAGCACAGAACAAGCCAAACATTGCTTGCGATGCAGATGGCTCGTCGCTGATCGCCGTGACCATTCTCGCCCACATGGCTGTGTACCCTGCGCCGAAAAAGCCGTAGACAATCGCGAAGCAAGCGAGCGGTGCCAATGAACGCGCCAGTCCCCACAAACTCAGCGTGACAATTGCTGCAATAGACGACGACACTACAATCATCGCATTGAGTGGCACCTTCTTGTCGGACATGTAGCCAAACGTAAACTGACCGGCGACTTGCGATATGCTCATCAACGTCAACAACAGAGCGCCTTTGGTTGCACTTAGACCAATGAGCGAAGCGTACGATGGCAGGAACAGCGAAGGGAAGAAGTAACCCATGCCCATGAAGACGTTACTTGTGCTGTATATCCAGAAGAGTGGCACTTTGAGGAAGCTCCAGTCGGTCCTCAGACTCGTAACATGTTGCTGTCCAAGGCGACCTCGAAGTAGTGGTATGAGTGGGCCTGTGAGTACGACCAGCGCCACTGCAACAGCTCGAAGTGTCGTCTGGTGTCCGTATTGCCGGAGCAAAGCTTGTAAAATGAGAGGCATCACCGCACCCGAAGCGCCAGAAGCACTGCACAAGATACCGTACGCCATGCCCCTTCGCCTCACCCAAAACTCGTCCACCATCGACAGGATCGGGTAGTAGAAGATGATGAAGCCGATTCCATACATCACTCCTTGAGTCAGGAGCAGAGTCCCGAGGGTATTTGCGAAGCTCCCTGCCACCAGACCGAGGATGCACAAGGGCCATCCGATGAGGATCATGTGCGTGCGATACTTTGACCATCGACAGATGATTGGTGTGATCAGAGGAGCTCCAAGGTATGAGATGCCCGATGCCGTTGTACCGATGGCCGAGATATAGGCGCTGTCTTTGAAAGCAGGGATATGCGAGTAGTACTCCTGAAATACTCCAAAGGAGAGAAGGAAGCCCCAGAGTAGAGCTTCGAACACAAATGCGGCGAGAAGCAGGCGCCATGCTGCAAATCCGCCATCGATAGGTGGAAGAGCTATTGACTCGTTGGCAAAAACTATGCGGTCATCCAGGTTTTGCGTCTCGAAATGCTGATCTGAAGGCGGAAGACTAGCAAGCTGCACTGAGGGCGGCTCCGAAAGAGTTGGACCACCCGAAGTATCATTCAGAGAGGCCATTGCAAACCACTCGTGTGATGGCAGTGTTGCGTTGGTTTCTGAAAGAAACATTGAGCTATGACCAAATTCTTAAAGTCCTGCTTCCAGGGTGTCTGTGAGGATCATTCCTACCGAGGTAACTTTGAAGAGCACCTCGCCTCGGTATGGACGGGCGAAGAGCACGTATCATCTAGCTTTCGCTCAGGCTGTGTGCAAGTCAGATACGAAGGCGATGTGTGTTAGCGAAGTCCTTGGATGCGTCTAGACATCGCAGTGTTGCAGAAAGGGAAAGTCCCTAGCCCTGAGCGGTGTCGGCCGTTGACGCTAAACTTCTTTTGTCTCTTCCTGCACCACCTTCTAGCCTTGAACGTCCAAGATCTCACCCAAACACCCTTCGTCAAGATGGTCAGACATGTCTCAGGCTTATTGGGACTGCCGCGAGGCGAGTTAATGGACATCCCATACTGTATTGGATAGCGTGCTAGCTGCCAATGTTTCTTGCTGCGGAACGCCGAGGAGAGGTGTCCAAGGCCACTTCCTGGGTTATTTGACGAGCATCGAGTTTCTTCGGGAAACAATTGATACGTGTTGAATTGGGTAAGACTGCGGTCGATGTCTGTTGTTGTGTACAACTCCGAGCCCCGACGGCTGACACAAAGCTAGACGAGAATACCATAACACGCACAGTACCGGGCATGTTCTACTCGCCGCAATAGCTTGGCGTAATAGAAAAGAAATCCTCTTTCCCGACTACGGCGAGTTTTGCTACAAGTGTATGCTTGACATGATGCTCTCCTAAGGCCAATCAGGATGACGTGCACGAGCATGATACATCATCCGGCAATCCTTCATATTAAGTCTCGGACCATATTTGGAATGCATCTTGATATGTATACTCACAGTGCAGATCCTTGTTGCTCAGTCTTACCCGATGCACAGTTTGCCGCCTTCAGTTTCGACCATGCACTCGAGGTTTTGCATGTTTGTCGAAGAGCAGATAAAACGGCTGTAACCCGTTGCAAAATTTAGCATATCATCAATCAAAATTCTCCCAAGCCCAGCAAACCCTCCAAATCACTAGCACTTCACTATCAAACTCCGATCAGCAGCCATCATGCCTTACACCATCGCGGCTTTCGTTACCCGCAAGCCCACGTTGTCGCCTACAGACTTCCAAGCAGCTTACGAGAACCACGTGCCTTTCCTCCGTGATACAGTTGGGTCAGGTGCTCCCGAGACCTTCACCCGCCAATACGTTCGCCGCGCCAAAGCCGACCCCAAAGGCCTCAAGCCCGTCTCTTTCACCGACAGCCAAGAGGTTTTCAACCACGATCTCATTGCATACATGACATTCAGGGATGAGGAGCACGCGCAGGTCTTCCAGCAGGCGTATGAAGAAAACAAGCAGGCAATCGGCGAGAAGGTCGCTGAGTTCGCGGAGCTGAGCCAGTTCCAGGTCATCGCCTTCCATGATGCCATTAGCGATTAGGCTATTACTTTTCAAAGGGAGGATCAAAATGGAGGGAGCCAAATTGGGGCGGATAGATGAGAGAAGTATTTGTTTAGACCTGTTCATGTATTCTAATCTTTGTGAGCTATTGCATTTTATGTAATTGTTTCCGAATGCTGCACATGTTGTCGTCTGAATTAATAACCTGTGCAATTCTAAGACACGCTTGAGTATATCTTGAACCCGGGAAAGTACTGTCGGGTGCCCCTGACTTAGGCAGCCTGCTTTGATTACTGAACGCCTCGCCTATTGTACTCATCTACGTGATTCTGCTCGCTGTTGGACGCATTCCAGCAATTTCATCAAAGCTTGCCGATCCTCCGTAGTACATGTCGGGAACTTGACAAGTTCACTGTGATCTGGGCGCAGTCTGAAGTGTGTGATTCCTTTTTGTGATGTCTCGACCCACCAAATATCCACTGAGGCACAATGCCGCAGTCAAATATATAATATCTTGAATCTGCAATCCCGCTGATGAGCCGATGGCGCTGCTCAAAGGGCCAGTCTTCCTCCCAATCGCCGTGGCGCATCGCGAAGTGATGCAATTGCGGCAGCTTCGTGCGAAAGCGCGCCAAAGCCGCATACCAGCGCAGTGGTACTTGTGTAAAGTAAACGTTCCCCATTCAACCAGACCTGAGAATGGGTAAGTCAGGAAAGCTCGCTTTTGCTGGCTTGTCGTCCATGTACAGTGCCGTGACGATGGGGCAATCGTCCGGGATGAGCTCTTCCAGTGTCTCCGCATGCGACAAAATCCAGTCAATCTGCCAGTCGTGTACGACCGTGAAGCGTCCAAAGCTCAGTGACTTGAGATGCGCAAAGGTTGGGATATTACAAAAATCTACGAGAGGCCATATCCCCCACATACACATACTCTCGGCACCGTACAGAGTGAGATGTGTGAGTTGTCCACTGAGAGGCTTGAGCCATGTGTTCGGAAGATCCTGTGTATATCCTGCGTGTAATGCCGGCTTTTCGATGGTGTATTCGGGACTTGCTTCGTCGTATTCAGCCGCGATCTGAAGATGCAACTGCGGCAACCTATCCCGTATGATCCTGAAATCCTGACGTTCGAAGATCGACTTGTTGTGATAGTCTTGCAGGTTCTTGATGGTTAGATATTGAATTTTTCCTGCCTGTTGCAGTGCTGATAGGAAGTTTTCGAAGACTTTGTTGCGAAACCGAAGCGTTTCGGCAACTCCTTTTGTCCAACTTGACCACCTGGTCACTTCCTCGACAGCGCATTGTTTTGCAAATTTGAGTTCCACCTCTTGTAAATTCTTAATTTGGTGTATGAGCTCCAGCATCTCGAGGAACATCTCTGAAAGTTCAGCTTCCTCACGATCGATACCCGAGAATTCGGGATCGTCCGATGTATTAATTATGAGACTAGAGATTTGTCAATTCATCGAGGACTTGAGGAGTTTTCCAAATTTCTGTGCACTTTCGTCGGTATTGTTCAAAATGGCTTTTCGGAACAAGATCTCGGTCGCCAAAGTGCCCAGTTCTTTGCTGACGAGGCGCGCAGCTTTGAGAGCTTCGCCATCGCTCTCAAGAGCTTGAAAGCACACGCGCTGGAGCTCGACCGGTTATTGTAACATGGTTGTGAGGGTGTGTTTGGTAAAGAGATGGAATGTCGCGTGTCTTTATCCTCCGGTCCATCTGGATAAGGTTAGCACATGTGCATAGTTCACCGTGCATTTAGGCAGCAAATATCTGGCATTGCCGGACCATGGATAGTTTTGAAGTCTAACAATCCTGTTTTTTTTTTCGATGTTCCCGTCAGATTGTTCTGGTGTCTATCGCTCAACTCATTCTACGAGCCCAATCTGGGCCATCTACCTGCTAGGTTCCACTCCGAATCCTCAAACTTAGTTCGGGTGTGACCAATCATATAGCTTCTTGACGCCCTCGATATCTTTCTCACTAGGCGCGAAATTTGTGTACTGAAGGTCGAGATCAACATCGGTGTACGGGTTCGGTGGCACGAAGTCTGGACCACGGTTGACCCACGCCGCCAATCGAGAGAACATGACTTCATCGTGCTCCCATCTCACAACGTGAGAGTCGAGATGCATGATCGAGTCCTCATCATAATCCCGGTCAGGATAGTTCTGGCGCCAGTACCAAGGCGAGCCGACATTGACGCTACCTGGGTCAATGTGATCAGAGGTATCGTGGTCGTTGATAGCGTAAAAGCCATAATATGCAGCAATGCTTGCATCATTGCAGACTTGCTCCATGGACCATCGCTTGTCGGCTTCTACCTTCAACTTGGCTTCGTCGTAGCCAGGCAACGCGTTGCATCTGAACAGCATGTAATGATTGCGATCCGGGCTGGGCATCGGTGTTAGTGAAATAGTTTGCAATGTTTGCAGATTTGACGTACCGCTGATTTTCGTGCCAGAGCCCAAAGATATGGCCTGTGAGCAGGTATTAGCGAGTTCCAAAGAGAGTACAACAGCGTACTTACCCAGCTCGTGAGCCAGAGCGGCGATCCAAGCCTCATCGGTACCGTAGTCGATTCTTTGATCTTTGTTCAAAGTCATACCCATGCGTCCAGGCTTTCCACCGCGCGGCCAATTCTCGTTAACATAGCTTGTCAAGAAGTCAGTTGTGTGCGTTAATTACGATCGATACATGATGATCTTACCCAACAACAGCGGCAGGTCCCTTTCCCGGGATGCGTTCAACGTCCTCCTGAATCCAAGCGATACCGTAGGGAACCTTGGGGTTAGGAATCCACGGGTCATCAGGCTTCTTGCGCTCCAAGTAGCAGTATTGCCAGTCATCGGCTTTCCAGATATACTCAAAGAATTGGAGCTTATGCCCACTCTCCTTACCAGCCGGTCCAAGGAGGTTCGACCACAAGTTCCACGCCTGTTGTATGTCTCCCTCATAACGCTTGCGAGCGTCGGGTGTGCTGAAGCAATACATGATACGACCCGCTGGCCAGGTAGATAGCGCTTCTTGGCCGGTCTGAGTGGGGTAATTAGCATCTGGTACTCAACTGTGGTATAGAAAATAGCGCTTCTGCGAATGGCCAAACGAGTTGACATCGCGAATAGCTAGCAAAATACTGTTACATACCAACGTGACGATTTCGCTCCATCCAGTCTGAGGGTGACTATCGAAGAGGTCGCGGACGAGATCCTGAGTTGTGTGGGTTCCGTTTCCTCGGAAGGCAAAGTCATTGAAGAGTGGCGGGCATGCTGCCGCGAGAGCCGCAAGCATGAGAAAGAAGAGGAAGAGCTTCATGTTGCTGATGATGACCCGCAGTTGAATCGATTCGGGATGAGCTAGGTGAGGAGACTTTAGAGCAGTGGGGGATAGTGTTTATATGGTAGGAGGTAGGTCAGGGCGAGGGAAAGGAAAGAGTGCACGTGATCTACTAGGCAGGCTTTGGATTTTTGAGAGGCGCTGAGCAAAGGACTCACTTGCTAATTGAGCAACAAAGTGCGCCTGGCACATATATGGCCCCATCATTCTTCTACAGGGATAACCAGAAAAGGTCGCAGCTACAGTCCTAGCCCTCACACAAGACTAGATATTGTAATCTGCAGAGCTTCTGGGTATTTGAAGATGAGTAGGGACAATGTCTGTACTGACAATACGTTATCGGCAATTAGCAGCTCGTTCAAGTGTTACGTTCAGATAATGTCAGATCGTGTTTGACGAGATGATGAGCATAGCACACTCTACAACACTGAGCATGTTAAGAGCGGGCCGAGGCAGCAGTAGTAATTGCCTTTGCTTCAGGTCGGTGTGACAGTCACGTCACCGGGGTTCACGGCTGGTTAGTTGCAGAACTGCGCAGTTAAGTTCCATCAGCAATAAATTGAGCTCTTGGTACATGAGGATTCGCGAGCAAACTCTTATGTCAAGTATCTTGGATGTTGGACTTTTTCCAAGGCGTATGTGTGTCAAATACCTTTGTGTACATGGTCAAATTTACCGACTATAAAACGATCGAAGGAGAAAGGCCTAGACTGATGATGCGTTGACCATACGTAGATGTGAGATGGCAGATGTTCGTGGCCGACTTCGCGTTGGGAGATGTTTTTCGTGTTATTGCTGACAAAGCCGCAGCCATGGGACGGGCCGATTCAGCTCAAATCATCTCTTCGAAAGTCGTCCGTCCATCCCAACGATGCAGCGCTCCAGATAGATGGCTAGGAGTTCTCGTCTCGTAATTCAGCACGTGTGCGACGTTACCATATTGCCCAAAAAGGCATGCGACAAGATCACCTTGTGGCGGTCTATCCACGTTTCATTATGACGACATCATTTCAAAGCGCGTCCAGGAGATATATGGTGCTTTGTGTCGCCATGCACGGTAGCTAATCTTCCAACTCTGTACAGGCCGAGGTAATATTGCTGCCTTCACAAAATCTACCACACACGAGATACCGCAAAGATCTCCTCATACTTGACCATGGCGGCAGCTTTAGGACTATCCAGCAACACATTCAATCCCGACAAGGACATTCCAGATCTAAGCGGGAAGGTGAGTTCCAATGACCCTCTTAGGTTCTACACGATGAAAACTAACACTAGACCCAGATATACGTGGTGACTGGTGGATCGGCGGGCATCGGTTATGGCATCGTCGCACATATCCTCCAACACAATCCCGCGAAGATTTACCTTCTGTCCAACAAAGAAGAACATGCGGACGACGCAATGGAATCGCTTAAGGAGTTTGGTGATAACAGCAAAGTCGAATGGCGACAGTGCAACCTTCAAGATTTCAAGCAGACAGACGAGGTCGCGAGGCAGTTAGCGGACGAGCTCACCAGGCTCGATGCGCTTGTATGCAATGCTGGTCTGGGTGTCGGAGTGTACAATGAGACAAGGGATGGTTTGGACAGCCACATGCAGGTCAACGTCTTCTCACAGGCACACCTTACTCTCACTCTTCTACCCATCCTTCAGAAGACTACGGACTCGCGAATCGTCCACCAGTCCTCCGACCTACATAAAGGTGCGACTAGCAGTATGAAGTTCGAATCGGTCGAGGAGGTGAACCAAGACATCGGTGCCGCGCTATTGTATAATCGCACCAAGTTTGCCCAGATCTTGTTCCTGCGGGAGCTATACTCACGCATCAAGGACGGCCAGTTCGGCCCGGTAACAGGCTCACAAGGAATGCCGTGGATAAATGCTACACATCCTGGTGGAATCAAGACAGACCAACAGGACCAAGCAGTCGAAGCCTACGGCACTCTGGGCAAGATTGGTGTCGCTGCCGTGCGGCCTTTCTTGAAGGATCCGATCTCGCAAGGATGTCGTTCAGCTCTATTCGCTGCTACTTCCCATGACATCGCGACCGAGCAGGTGCAGAATTCGTACATCATTCCAGATCGAAAGGTCACGGAACCATCCAAGCAGGCACAGGATCCGGCCCTGAGTCTGAATCTGTGGAAGCTTACCAAGCATGTACTGGAATTAAAGATCGGCAATTTGCCTTACAACATGTAAACGGGGAGGTAACATTGCTTTTGTGTCACATGAGTACAGAAAGGTCTGTCAGCAAGTGGTATTGTCTCCGTGTAGTATCCCTTCCCTGTTGATGCATGACATATATAGCATATTGATCTGCGACGATCATTAAAGTGCCATCTGATCCTCCAAACGGTGCATCCATGTCATGTCCACAAACACTAATGAGGTGTCACAGAGATGCGGTACGCATTTGCTGTTGCCTGGAAGCGACTCTAGCTTACATCGACGCCGCATGGCGGCGTGCTATACTCGGGAGCATCTTGCAAGTATACACATTGAAGATCATTTTGGACGAACCCACGTTAATTACGCCCTATAACGGACATACGCCCCAAAATCCATTTCAAATTGTACATGTAGGGCGCGACCCCGCAACGTCACGTTATTTGCTAAGTGGGGGTCCAAGAACGTCCGTCTCCAGCATCGGTGCTTGGAACTTAACAGATATAAGAGTAGCCGGCAGACCGACATCAAACCTCTGCGACCTATACGCAACTCTCAATTCAAACTCATCCGTCATGTCCAAACTTACCGACTTCAAGCTTCTCTCCTTTGATGTTTACGGCACGCTCATTGATTGGGAACGTGGCTGCTATGATGCATTCCAGCCAATGCTCAAGAAGTCCCAAAAAGAAGACATAGACCCCAAGGAAATCCTCAAAGTCTGCCATGCGGTCCAGGTACCCGAACAAGCTCGCAATCCTGGTCTCAAATACTCCCAGCTGCTGACCGCCATTCATCCGGCAATGTGCAAAGAGCTTGACCTACAGGAGCCAACTAGAGCAGAAAGCGAAGCTTTTGGCGCAAGTGTTCACTCTTGGCCAGCATTCCCAGACAGCGTCTCTGCTCTGCAGCGCTTGTCAAAAGTCTACAAACTCGTCGTCCTCTCCAATGTCGACAATGACTCTTTCCGCGACAACCGCAAAGCCTCCACCGGTCTTCAGGACTTCGAGTTCGACGCCATCTACACAGCTGAGGATATCGGCTCATACAAGCCTAATCTTAAAAACTTTGAGTACATGCTCAAGAAAGTGAAAGAAGATTTCGGCGTGGAGAAGAACGAGGTGTTGCAAACAGCCCAGAGCCAATTTCACGACCATCACCCGTGTAAGGATATGGGTATCAAAAGTTCGTGGATCTTCAGACCTGGCGCGATCATGGGCAACCGAGACGACCCTGTGTGGAACTGGAAGTTTGACACTTTGGGTGAGATGGCGGATGCAGTCGAGAAGGAACTTGCGGAAAACAAGAAGTAGATGTAGGTATCTGAATATGAGGTACACTGCTATCAAACCTGCTGACGTGCTGTAAAAGTCGCATAACAACGCCCGTCAAGCATATACGTTCGGTCGGGCTACTCGCCTCTAAGGGCGTACTCTTTCCAATTCGTTGGCTGAGAGCCACAATTTGCCTAGATTTCACATGTTTTTATAATTGTGCATTCTTCTGGGCAAAAAAATGACGGGCGCCGTGTTACATGATGGAGAATTCTGTTTCAATTTCGGCTCAATGGATAGCACGAGATGCTTGAACAATATGTCGCTCACCGTTACGCTTTGCACCATAGTCGGTGTTAGGAGAGCCAATGAATTTCAGCAATTTGAAGCATCAATCACATGACCGAATAATTGTGAAGAGCTTCGGAAGTCAGGAAAATCACAGGACTTCATCGCAACCACTGATCAGCGTCATAGATTCTTCTCTGCCCGAGGCCGTGCCACGACCGTTGTCATTCAGTCTCCACCGTGTCCTGGTGTGTTGCTTGCCGATGTCCAAGCTTTTGTCAACTACCCTCTTTGGTGTCCGATCGCCCTTGATTTCCTTCGACGTCACACTGGGAGTGGACACTCCAACCGCGAATTGCGCCCACAGCCTCACAGACGCGACAGCCGAGATTGTAACCCACAGCAAGTTTTTTGCAATGCACGTGTCCTTGACTCGAAGATCGGCCTCCGGACGACGAGATTTTAACAAGCAAGGAAGCAAGGGCTGTGCTGGTCGAAGAGATTGGCACAGAGTCATGTAGCTTGGCGTTGCTTCCCGACAGCTTGTGGGGAAAACCAAACTCCACGGGGTCGTCACCAAAAGCATGGGACTTACAGAACCTGCGTTCTCCAGACTATCTCCGGACGTTCATGTCTGAAATGTGCAAGCATGACAGTAACTTGAGTCTGACGGAGGCCCTATCCTTACATGCCGAACTGAACAAGGCAAGGCACTAACTTGACCAGGGTACGGAAGAGCTGATCTCCGTCACCGTGCAGAGAACGTCGGCCATGTCACCCAAAACCACCACATCGACTACCACGGTCGTCCACCAACGACCATTGTGCAACGGTCCGGACTTTTGCCGATGCGAGGCTACTTTCACGCCGCCTCTTTCCATCTGCCGTGATAGCACCGAGCCGGAGCTTGTGGCAGCAGAACTATGTCCGATGCCGCCCTAGGGCTGCCATTATATAAGAACGCTACCCCGGAAAGCATGGCATGCTCATTGCGCTGGTTGCGGAGAAGGCTTTTGCTCATCACGATGTTTGTCACCACTACTTTCTTGCTGTTGGGGTACTTCGGCGCTTTTGGCCTAGGCCGGCCGTATTCGCAGTACCCAACACCAAACCAACCAAGCCAACACAATGCCTCGCTACTCGTTACGCTACCAGGATATGGATCTTTCCAAGGAATTCAACTCCATGCGGATATGAAAGGTGTAGAGATATTTCAATCGCCTGTGGACGCTTGGCTGGGCGTAGAATATTCTACCCAGCCCGCAGGAACCGACCGCTTCAAAATTGTGGAAGCGCCTGCAGCCTTTGACGGAGTTAAGGATGCGTCAAATTCAGGCCCAGCATGTTGGCAGAACATCTACGCTGCATTCCCGCAATCGGAAGCATGTCTTACGATCAACGTCTATCGCCCGTCCGGGATTCCCATGGACCAGAAGTTGCCAGCCTTAGTATATTTGCATGGCGGTTCCTTTGTGACTGGCTCGCACCGCAGCTTTGATGGTGCTCTCTTCGTCGAGAAGAGTGTAAAACCAGTCATGGTTGTCACCGTGCAGTATCGGCTGGGTGCATTGGGAACTCTGCCAGGAAAATTCATGGAAGAAAAGGACCTGCTGAATCTCGGCATACGCGACCAGAAGCAGGCACTCGAGTTCTTACAGCAGCACTTCGAGTTCTTTGGGGGCGATAAGGAGAAGATCACACTTGGCGGACAAAGTGCAGGCGGACACGCAGTTGGCATCCACCTCTTCCACAACTACGGAGAAGACGAAGGCAAGCCGCTTTTCCACCAGGTGATTACTTCTTCGGGATCTCCAACAGCACGTGCGTTCCCTGGCGTCGATTACCCGTTGTACCAGAACCAAGTCGAGCAGTTCATGGACTATGTCAACTGCCCGACCTCGCCCAGCTCAGCCGCGCTTGAGTGCCTTCGCTCATCTGAGGCCGATGATATTCAATTCATCTCTTCTTCGCTGTACAACGCCCACAACGCCAACATTACGTGGCCGTGGCAACCAGTATCGCCGGGACCCCTGTTCGAGAAGCGCGGCTCAAAGTCTGGTGAAGATGGCACATTCTTCAAGGTTCCGATGATGATCGCATCTATGACGGACGAGGGTACTGGCTTTGTGCCCCAGGATCTGCGCACAAATGCTCAGTTTCTCACGTTCTGGAAGACCCTTGTTCCAGGTCTCAATGACCAAGACCTGGCAGATCTCCAAGTGCTTTACCCAGATGTGAACTCCACGAACATGGAGTCAGCAACTTTTGTCTCCAAGCAGTTCGAGCGCTTGTCTGCTTCATACGCCGACTACTCATACATTTGCCCCGTACAAGATACTGCATCGCGTCTATCTTCTGCCGGCGCGCCTGTGTACAAGGCACGCTTCAACACCCCGAACTACACGCCTGCATACCTGGGAGTCCCTCATGCCAGTGACAGCGCATACTTTCAAGGCCAGGCAAGCGCGCAATACCCCGCAATTGCGGACATTTACAGTGCATACTGGGCGAGCTTCGTTGTAAGTGGAGACCCGAACCAGTACTCTCGTGAAGGTAGCGCGAAGTGGGAGACTTATCAGCCGGGTGATGGAGCACACGGTAGAGAGCTGGTAGTGAACAGGCCGAGCCAAGGTGGACCGGTGATGGAGAATGAGAAGGACGCAATCAGGATGGAGCAATGCCAATGGTGGAGAGACGAGTCGAGGGCGGTAAGGATCAACAAATGAGCCATATAATCAACCTTAGGTCCATTTATCAATCATTTTTAGTGTAATGACTTCAATCAGTATAATTCTCACCTAATCAACCACAACTTGATGTGATGAATAGTGAAACTTCCGACTACACAATGTTATTGACGCACACTCTTTGTGTGTGAAATTGATTGCTGCCATAAAACAATTTCTGATAAATACGAGCCAATAATGTGAAATGTTCCGCAAGCAGATACGAACAATTGGAATATGCCCAGTCTTCCACGTTCTAGTTTGTGCAGATCGATGGCCGTAGTATAAGATTAACGTCAAATTGATCCCACTCGAGGATGGCCCAGCGAAGAAGGAGCGAATTTTTCGTTACCCCAAATTCGTTCGCGAGAAGAATGCTAAACCGGCTACTTCTACGGTGTTAGTTTCCCACCTCCCAACATCGGACCTATCAGCAGCATAAAGGACATGATGGAACTGGTGGGCATGGACAGCTACTCTGACGTCGATGAGGAAGGAGGGCACGTGGTATCAAAGACATCCGTTAGATTCCCCATCGCGGTGTGTGATTCTGTTCGAGTGTATCGGAGACACAAACAGCTTCCAAGGTTATAACATAGCACGGGTTGCTAAGTTTTGGCTGCATACCAGACAGTGGTCAGCCCAGTAATATGTAGTTAGAAAGCCGATAGGCTAACTCGAGCTATCGAGCGGCCGTTCAGCCATCTACGGTTCCCCGAAATCTGCACGACTGACACTTTGCGGTGCCGCGAGTCTGGGGCCTTTTTGGGCGCGACAAAAGCACATGAAGCGACATATTTCTACATCTCTATCACCTCCGACCACCTGGATGCGACATCGTTGCATACTTCAATGTCGAGTTGCAAGCGTGCAAGGCTCTAGACCGTCCTGGCAGAACACGCACTAGTCGTGCGAATTGGCACACTGTCTCAGTATAATTTGTTGCCTGGCCGACTCCGAGACGGTCTCCAAGATTTGTAGCTCAAGAGGTTATCAAATTGCTGCAATAATCAAAACACAAGACTTGCATGGAGGCAAAGGTGCCGTTCTCCATATTGATTGAGCACTGCGAGGCACTGTCAAAAGGGAGAATGGAAATTACCTGTAGTGCGTACGATGAAAGATAGTCACTACACAAAGCTTGAAGCGGAGCCATTCATGAATTCAGGAAGTTTTCATGGTTCTATGTTACGTGTGTCGATACTTCTATTCACTTGGACCAGCAAAAGAGTGAAAGACTGCGTAACCGAGTCACACGGCCTGTGCACCTCCACATATGAGTACCAGGCAGTCCTGTTGTAGCTGCCTCGGAAAAAAATACTCTCTAGGAATTCACCGTGTAATTGTCGCGCCTTTGTGGCTGCACATAGCTTCGGTGAACGGCAAACACTTCTCAGCTGTTGTTGTTCACGTTCACCAACAAGGTCCGAGCGCGTCCCAGCCTTCCACTACATAACCTGCGCCCGACTCCACGAAAAGGTTCTTCTAATCCCTAAGGTTCTGATTTTATATCAACTCAGAGCAGATTTGTTTCCTTTTACAAAGACTCCTAAATTTCACACACGCCGCCAATCGCACCACTTGCGTCAACCACACCAGCTTCTTTCACGCCCACACCGATCTTGCGCTCTTTGTCACATACAAATTCAGCAAAGCTTGTCTCTAGACAAAGCCCGCACATCAATCTCGCTTGTTCAAAGCAAAACTCTCGCTGCGACCCTGCCTACCAACTTCAACCCCACCTCACTCAACCACAAAGCAATCGCGAACGCACTACGACACCAAGCAAAATGACTCACAGCACCCAATCTGCAGTCGCAACCGTGCCGAAGGAGACCACCCCGACCGTAGAAGCCTCCGTCACTCAGACCATGCCAGTGGAGACGGACATCGACATCGATCTCTCGGATAGTCCTGCTAACGACACCATGATCGCTGCGCCCGCCGCAGAGTACCTGGAAGACCTGATCGATTACGACGATGACGAGCTCTTACCTGCTAGTCACGACAGCGGAGATGACACCCTGATCGGACTCGACGACACAGACATCAAGTTCGAGGATGAGATCACCGTCGCCAAGGACACGTCCCTGGCCGAGCAGCAAGCCGATCACGCGCAAGGCATGCAGGAAGTAGCTGACCATCACTTGGAGCAGGCTAAGTATATGATGAGCATGGGCCCGCAAACCCTACTGGGTTCCTCACCCGATATGGCGTCGGCGCTGCAGCTCAACAACGTCGGCGACAACGTGACTGTCAATGTCTCTGTTGATGGCATTACTTACGAGATCACCTGGAAAGTCGCTGCTGTCCATGGCGAGCAACCTCAGCCTGCCATCGAGCAGCCTGCCGCCAGCATCGCTGTCAACACCACCCAGCGCAAGACGTCCCTTCGCGACGCTCCACCACTTTCAACTAGCGCAAATCCAGCCGCTCGCTCCGCCGTCAAGTGTAAGTTCGGTAGCAAGTGCAACAAGGGTACTTCTTGCACCTTTGAACACACTGTCAAGGTCAAGCTCTGCACGTGGGTCAACACTGCGCAGGGCTGCACCAAGGGCAAGGCTTGCGAGTTTTCGCACGACAACGAGGGTGCGAAGTGTACCCGTAGCACCACTCGCTCGGACTGTGCCAACGGCAAGGGCTGTGCGTTTAAGCATGGCGATGATGTCGGTATTGCGGTCAAGCCGAAGGCTGTCGCGCCCGCTGCTGAGCAGGTCAAGACTCTTCCTCCTGCCGATGCGCCAATTGGACCGAAGGTTGCTAATGCTCCTCCTAGCAATGCACCAACTGGCCCCAAGGGTACTGGGAAGCGTAGCCGCGACCAAGATGATGACGGCGGCAACGAGACGCAGCACAAGCGTGTCAACAACAGCACTGACAACTTCAAGGCTGGTGGCAGCAACAACCGTGGTGTGAAGCAGTACCGGGGTCGTGGTCGAGGCAATGCCCGTGCTGGTGGCAGAGAACGTGTCGGTGGTGCGCTTGGAGGCGATATGCGCATCAAGGGCGCTGCAGGGGGACGGTAGAAGATTATGGTACTAGAGATGAATTTTGGTTGGGTCTGGAGATGATAGCTAGTAGAAATGTGTTTTCTCAATGAAGTCTTGAGACCACGATGTATGTTGCTTACATGACTGTGTGACAATGAAGATTACCAGGTTGTTGTTTCGGTGTTGCAACTCGTTACTATGAAGTGTCTTGCCACCCTCGTCGCATGTATGTTAGGTCCACGTTGTTTGAATGCTGACAAGTTATCGCATGGCGCGAAGTGCCAAGGCTGCATCAACAGTGTACAATAAACTCATTAAGACACTCCACGCCTCTGCCGGCACATGCTCATCTACTCCCTAGTAGCAGCTTGAAGACCTCGCTCTTAACACTAGCTCGAACCTGTTGCATCGTTCCCTCCAAAGACTTTCAAAGATTCCTCCAAATAAGTCCTCTCTGGCTCGTCCCCAGGGCCCTCAGTCATTTCTCCAAACACGAGCTGGGCCTCCAAAGTCCAGCTTTCCGGAACATTGCTACAGGGCATCAGCGTCATCTTATTTTTTGAAATTATCTCAAAGACGTACTACTTCTTTCTGATCCACGGCAGAATGTGCGGCTGGTAATGCTGCAAGTTGCATCCAAGCCCTTCAGCTTCAAGCGCTGTCCAGACCACAAATTGCAGCATTCCCGACGCGGGTTCGTGAACGTTGGCGAACTCCTTAAAGACAGGTTTGAACATATCTGGCAGATTGGAGACTGTGGTTGGGTCATCGAAGAAGAGGACCTATTTCGGATGAGTGGTGTGCAAGATTTGTAAATATGGTAAGAGCTTACGGTGCCGTAGGCTCTCTTGAATATGCCAATTCTTGGAACGAGTAGATTGAATAGATCTTTGGGAGCACAGGAAGGCATGATTTCCTCGGTATGCGTCCACAGTGCAGTGTGCTCGGCGCCATAGAGGATTATGCAGCGGTTGCTGCGAACATTGACTGCGGATTGTTTAGCATCGTTTGGAGGCAGGACTTCAATGAAGTTGAACGATCTCCATAGATCAGTGGGTTATTCTACGTACAAGGCGTAGGGCAGTACTTGAGTGCCTCATGCACAATCTCAGTGATGCGGGTCTGTGAGACTGGCGACGTATTCGTCAGCGTGTACACTGAGCGACGTTTGGCAACCGCGTCGAGGAATGGAGTAGTATATGCCATCATCGGGGAATTTATTGTTTTGAAGGCGGATTAATTTGTGTTGTGACCTCGTGGAAAGTGCTGTCTTTTTGATATATGTATCTACCACTTCCAAAAGGCCCCCAGCGGTGTCGCCCGCCATGTCCAATTCATCAGCTGACTGCATAGCCAAGTCGCATTCAGAGCTTCAAGACGCGTTCTAATCACAAGTTTGGACCGAGAACATCCAATCGGAATTGAATGTTACAGCAAAAGCTTGCGCCAGATGCGCAGGTGTATCTATTTTCTCGCTCATTCAGAAAATGCTAACCAGGTGCCGCGATTCAGCCCTGGCCTGAGTGCCTGTTTGAATGCATGTTCCTAAGAGGGTTATAAATATTCTGATTACCTATAGCAGATAAAAATATCTAGCCGTCCTTATTAGGCGTGCTTCGCCCTTAGCGTGCAAAGGTCGCTATTTAGCCAAAAAGCGACGAATCAGAAGCCTTCGACATCGATTTACGTAGGTATGCTGACCAGGTTCTCAACATGCAGATGGAGAGTTCAGCGTACTCGAACTGTTTGCATGTACCTGGACATGGCTCAGCTCTGACACAGATCTGAGATGGAGAAGCGAAGACGGATCGCTCTGCTTCACACGACGATGGACCCCATTTTCTAACCTCGGCTCGGCCTTCCTACTCCATCCGCTCCCGTCTCCGAGCACCACCACGATTTCTTTCACAGGGCATCGCGCAACATGTAACCATTATTCGCGACGCAAGCAAGTGGATTGATCGATGTCAGCCCGAAAATTATACCTCACAGGGTATAACCTGTTGTTCGCTTCGCTCTGGACATCCGTCTTCATCAACGCCGCATCGAACGCGAAGAACGGCAAACAAAACCTCTTCAACGCAACAGAGTCGCAAGCGCGATGGATTCAGACAGCTTCCTTGATCGAAGTTCTACACTCAGCCACCGGTATTTTCCATCTGCTCATTATAACCGATCGATATGCTTACTTCATCCAGGCTTGATCAAGTCGCCAGTAAGCACCACAGCTCTACAAGTCGTCACACGAGTGATACAAGTATGGATGGTTTGGTACAGCTTTCCTATCAGTACTGCTAGCTCGAGTGCGTATTTGGCGCTGTTGTTGGCATGGAGTGTGGCGGATACTTTGAGATATTTGTACCTGGCCGCCAATCTCTGGAACAAGGCACCGGGGTGGCTAGTTTGGGTGAGGTACATAGACAGACGTAACGATGGGCTGGTAGAAATGCTGATGAAACAATAGGTATACGATGTTCTATCCACTCTACCCCATTGGTATTGGTGCCGAGTGGTGGCTGCTGTACAGGGCGATTGGACCTGCTGGCGAGATCAATTCCGTGATACCACCAATCTTCTGGTTCTGTTTGATGCTATATATTCCTGGTAAATATGCGCAGATCGTGTGAATCACACAAGGCTGACATGGCATCTAGGGTCGTATAAGATGTATACGTACATGATCAAGCAGCGTGAAAAGACGCTTCACAGTCAAAAGAAGAATATCTAAGAGCGTGTACCGATAGAGTGCTAACTCTTCAGTATTGTGCTGGCTGCTATACGCCATTGGTAACACCAACGATGATTCAAGGCTTTGTTGTTCTCTGGCGTACCGCCTGAGAAAGAGGGGAAAATCCATTTTCATATCTCTTCTCTAAGAGATCTGGGCTAGCTCTAGTTAGTGTATGTACGCTAAACATTTTGACACGTCACATCGTGTCAGCTTACTTCCCCACTTCAACACAAATCACAGTATCCTCTGCTCATACACATTGGAGTGAGTATCATCTTAAGGTCCACGATTCCTGGAAGAGTTACAACCTAGACGATCTGTACTGTAGCCCGCTCCAGCGATGGAGAGATGCCGCTCGACATACTCATATGTGCTCCGCTTGACGAATCCAAACGGCAAATCCGCCTTCTTCACATCCTGCCAAGGCACTCCAGCGATTCTCCTGACCCGCAATCCCCGGCCAAGAATGTTGCGCAGCGCGAAGCACTAGTCAAAGACCCCATCAAGTGCACATTCAGCCTCATTTCGCTCAGCAATCCACCGCCCTTCGAAGCGCTTTCCTACACCTGGGGCAGTCCTGAAGCAGAACGCACAATCGAAGTTGAAGGCCATGAAGTCTCGGTCACAGATAATCTCTACTCCGCTCTCCAACACCTACGCCAAGATCGTGAACGCATCATGTGGATCGATGCGTTATGTATCAATCAAGATGATCTCAACGAACGAACCAACCAAGTAGCGCAGATGCAGTACATCTATAGCCTCGCCTCAACAGTGACTATCTTCCTTGGCGAAGCCTGGGAAGGGAGTGATGTAGCCATGGGCTTCTTACAGCAGATGCACGCGGATCCCAAGCTTCACTTTGATCCATTCCTCGATCCACATATCGAGATTCAAGGTATGGGTCTGCAGTCGGATATACTGAGAGATCACCTTATCAGCTTCTTCTCACTGCCATGGTTCACGAGAGTCTGGACGATTCAGGAATACGTCCTGGCGCAGCAGATTACCATACAATGCGGGGCGCTCTCGATTAATGGCGACATCTTTCTTGCCATTTTTAATTGTTTCGAAATACATGTTTCGGGATGCTGCCAGCAGGCCAGTACATTCTGGAACCACAGATCGTCGGGGCCATTCTCGCTGAGCGATCACATCGAGGCGGTGCTGCTGATGAATGCCATCAAAACTCATCGCGCCCAGATGCCCGTGGATATCATTTTCCTGGCTTCAAAGTTCTGGTCACGCAGGTGTTTTGATCCACGTGACAAGTTTTACGGTGTTTCAGGCCTTCTTGGTCACGCTGGCATTCGGGCTGATTACACCATCCCGCCGGCAGAATTGTACACGCGGGTAGCGGTCAATGCGATTCGGCAGAGTCGGTCGTTGGATATACTCACTTACATGTGTGGTGAAAGAGAGTCGACCTTTAGCTTGTCTTCGTTCGTGCCAGATTGGACTGCGTCTCTGCGATCTGGCGAGTATGACTGCGTGGCATTCCGCATCATGATCTTGAGTGCTGGATTATACAATGCGTGCAGGGGAAGCTCAGCTGATTTCAATCTCCTTACTTCCGACCAAGCAACTACCCTAGGTGTTGTCGTTGACACTATAGCCGAGATAGTGTCGAGTGAGGAGATATCGGGGGACGAGGGACCGGAACTCCAGCGCCTGGCGTCTCGATTTGCAGGCGACCCACGTGGGAGGTATGGCTCTGGAGGGAATGCATTTTGGAGGACAATGTGTGGAGATACCATGCGACATAACTACAAACATCGCCGGGCAGTGGATGCCGACTGCCTTGTTTACGTGGCGTGGAGAAGATATGCAGATTCACAGGACTATATGCGTCCCAATGACGGCATCGTTGAATTCAGCGGCTCTTACAATACCGTAAGGATCGGAAGGAAGTTCTGCATCACTAGTGGGGGATACATTGGGTGGGTCCCCTTCGCCTCGGCGCCTGGCGATATGGTAGTCATTATGCCTGGGGGTAAGATCCCATACATCTTGCGGCCGTTTATTGATGACGGAGCCGAAGAAGCTGTGGCGACTTGGGATGCTGGCTGGCCAGAAAATCCGACAGTCGTCCCACACTACACGTTCATTGGAGATGCATACATTCATGGCATCATGGACGGGGAGGCTTACGATGAAGAGAAGCTGGAGCCATTGATACTGCATTGAAAGAAATTTCTTCTTGCTTTTGTTATGTCGGATCTCGGCAACCTTGGAAAGGTGCAGTTGATAGAGTGGGCGTGGTGTAAAAGCACCAGGATTATCACTGCTACAGCTACGTTAAACTCCTCTGTGGCTTAAACTAAAAATGTGCTGAAAAGCTGTTCTGTCTAAACCTGGCAAATTTCGATCACCTGCTCTTCTTCAACACGTCCATTTCACCGCGACATGGGAGCTCGCAATGATAATGATGATGATGATAACCATCTTCACTTCTACATACTGACTATCGTCCTCTTATTGGTCAAGTCATAAGGTTTAGACCTATGGTGTTGTAGATCGCTGTTACCTGTAGAAGAGACATAGAGACTCGTGTTTCCTATTTTTGATTTCGTGAGTAGAGACGTGTGGCCAGAAGTCCTGGATTCTACGAAAGAGCGCGGACTATATACCCCACGACCACGAAACTCATGCCATTAAAAGGCCCTCATTTTAGAACTCCTCTGTCTCACTCTATACTCACAGAATCACTGCGTTCACCAAATATCCTTGCTACACGTGGTCATATCCTGAAATGACCTACAAAGACGTTCATGGTCAGTCTGCCACCTGTTCTGGTTCAAAAATTCGAAGAAATGCTGCTTATGATAACTGCCAGGACTTGCGACAGTTGTAAGCAGGAAGGAGGGGGAAGAAGATGTGAAATATAAACCTATCATTCAGCGCGGCGATAATAATTGCCACCGTCGTTCAACGTTGCTGCAGGGTAACAGACACACCACTCGAGAAAAGTCATGTCCACGGAAAAATCTGGATTTTCGAAAGGCAGAGACATGTGATGTGGTCCATCCCCCAATCTTTTTGTTCAAAGCGACTCAGCTTGAAGTGTAGAAAGGATCACAGACGAGATGTGGTACTTATATACCCCATACCCGTCAGCATCGCGAGAGCGAGAGTAAAGACATATCCAACATTCGCAGCGTCTTTCGGCATTACTGGCGTAGTGCGTGGGAGGGGAATAAAGCCCTCGAAACCTCTCCTCTTCTTCTTCGATAGCACACTCCACACTCAATGAAGTCCCAAAAGGTTTGATAGACCTGTTCATTTCTTTCCTCTCCTCTGTTCTGAAATAAGAAATATCAGCGCATGTCTTCCTTCTGTTACTCTGACACCCTGATCGATCTAAACTCTGTGATTACAGCTGCAATGATGATGATCACCACCACCATCATCATCACATTCGCCCTGTGCTAAGTTCCTACCTTACCAAAGCTCGAGCAGACGGCACATACGTATTTTGAGAGCAGTCTTAGGTGCCTGGAACATGAACCCTTCGAGCTCGGTTTTGGAAAGCACGTCACCGAATTATAATGTGCCATTTTTGTAACTAGAATAGACAGTGTATGTTGAGAAAAAGAGAAGGGACAGGGAGGAGATATTTATATCGCCGGACGTGTAAAGGAATGACATGGCCTAGGAGTAAAAAATGTTGTAGTGGAGGCTTCGATGAAGTGGTTGTCAAGGTACGTCCGCGTGAATCACCGCAGCTCTCCACACGAGACCTGTCCAGCCACTAACCTTCATTTTCGATAGAGGACGAGAAGACGACATGAAGAGCAGAAGAATCTATTTTTAGTGCTCAGACCATATGAGCTTTCTCTTGAGCTTTTTGGGACCCGGAGATGGGAGTGTGTGATGAAAGAAATGTACAAGAGGAGAGAGGATACATTTATATCGCTATGCCTTAGAAGTCATGAGCTGAGGAGAGACGCATCAGGGCGAGAGAGAGAGGAGGTGTATATATCCCCATTTCTCAAACAGAACCTGGGAAGAATGCACAGGCATCAAAAGCGGACCATGCGGATCACTGTGGCCTCTAACCATGTTCCATTACATGAACGATTTGACAGAAGCTGAGAAGATGACATATATGGAAAATGACAAAGTTTCGGCGCCCAGCACATGCGTGGCTCGACTCTGGCTAACCAAAACCCCCATTCCATCCCATCTCATCCCATTCAAATTCAGTTCATGAACATACGAGAGCCCTCCCCACATCATTAAATATACGAGACCTTAACCCCCATACCCACGGTCCTGCGCACCTTCTCCCACGCCGTCCTCACAATCCGCATGATCCTCTCGCGCAAATCCCTCCGCCCCACGGCCAATGTAAAAGCCAGCAAGAACAAAAACGTGCGGAACAACGCCATGGGATTCGCCGTCATTTGGTGGGCGGCGTCTGCTATGATGGTCTGCAGCGATGCGAACATGGTGGCTGCGCGGTTGTAGAAGCCGGGCGGCGGCGTGGAGGGGCGCTTGGCTGGTTGGCGGGAGGTGCGTGAGGTGGGCGTGGGGATGATGTTGTGCTGAGGACGTATACGCTCATCGCTGCCTCTGGGCTGTCTGCGATTTTCCTCCTCGCGCTTGCGCCTCTCATCTTCGGCGCGGGACTGTTCGAGGCGGCGAGCTTCCGTCTCCTTGCGGCGCTCCTCCATCTGTTCTTGTTGTTGCTGGCGCAACTTCTCTTCGCGGGCTTCGGCGTCTTCTTTTTCCTCTTTGAGCGAGTGCAGGGCGAGGAGGAAGGCTTCTTTGCGCTCGTCGTCGAGGACCTCGGACATGGTGATGAACTCGCGGGCGTAGTCCCATTCTTCGTTGCGCGGGAGGATGTGCAGGGTGTAGAGCTCGAGGAGCTTGATGCGGGTGTTGAGGTCGCGGGGGGTGTCGGTGCCGTTCTGGACGCTGCGCTGGGATTGGCGGCGTTGGTACGAGGGCGAGGACATGTGGGAGGCGACGTCGAAGGTCGGGGTGGCAGTCGCGGAGAGATATGTCTCGAGCTTCTGCTGGTTCAGGCGCTGGGACGGGCAGTGGGTGAGGAGGAGGGTTGCTCTATGCCGGTGTTAGCACGTGATATCCTGTCCCTCGTAGTATGGCATGTCCTCACAGATTGACTACGACATCTGCATCGACATCTCCGTCAACCCCTGCGTAGCCGTCTCGAACCACCTCATCCCAAACACTGCCATCGCGGCACTTGCTGACCAACTGCTTCCACCTCGTGCTGCCAAACGCGTGCTTGCCCTCTTCCGCGCCGAGCTCGACCACTGCATTGAGGAAGGTGAGGTAGAAGCTCCACACCTTCACCCGCGTGCCCCGTGACGCGGTAGCAATGGGAGCATAGCCGACGAGCTCCCCGTCATGTGATTTGCCATTGGTGTCGTCCGGGGGCGCCGGAGTAATAATAGGCTCAATCGTCGAGAGCGCCTCCGGGAGTCGTCGCGTAAGAAACAGCTGGGCGGCCTGGCGGTAGGCTTTGGCGATCTGGGACGACTGATGCCGGGACGCCGAGAGCGACGAGATGGACGACGACAGGTAGCGCGAGCCGCTCATATCATCGTAGAGGGTAGCCATATTCACGACTACAGTGAAGGACCCTCGCGACTGTGGTATTAGAGGCTATGCGACGCGGCCAGGGTTCATGGCGGTGAAAGAGGAGTCGGTGCTGGCGTTGGCGTCGGCGTGTTGATGCATTCCTCGGTGCCTGTCAACATTCTCCAACCTCGGCTGCCGTCCGCTGTCAACTGGCCTTGGCATCATCACGCGCAGCCGACTGATCCCTGCAGCCAAACCACCTTCATTTCCTATCACGACACCAATCCGCGTCTGGCTGAGGCTGGTGAGAGCGCGCGACAACAATTGTGCGTTTGACAAACGCGGCTTGTCTTGCTCTGCGAGACGCCGCTGAGTCGATTAGACAGCCGTGTCTCGACGCTTGATCTTGGACTGACCTCATCACTTACCACAGCACAGCCATTAAATCTCTTACCTTGCCACCAGCTACAGCTTCAATCTCTGGTACTGCGCCCGCTTGGATACTTGGATTGACTTTCTCCTTCGCACTGCACCCATCCTCGCCAATCATGGAGGTCGACGCAGCTTCGTTTCCGCATCACCTGCTGGGCTTATTCATCCACATCTCCGAGGCCGACTTCGTGTCCTTTGACCTTGAGCTCTCTGGCATACCCTCTCGTCTTCCGAACAAGCCTCGTTCCGGTGCTGGTAGGTTCACCCTCGAGGAGCGTTATGCCGAAGCCAAGGAAGGCGCAAACCGCTATCAGATCCTCCAGGTAGGTATCACGTGCGCCAGATTCGACTACATCGCCAACAAGTATGTTTTGAGGCCCTACAACATCAACATCAGCCCTTTGATCTCCGAGCGGGTGGATTTCGAGCGCGAGATCAGCCTACAGAGTGGCGCCATAACCTTCCTGTTAGGATGTGGCTTTGACATGGCCAAGCCCTTCACTCATGGCGTCGAGTATTTGTCGCGGCAGGAGGCAGAGCAGATCAAGCAGGCGACAGCAGACCGACTAGAAAACAAGAATCCCCCTGCGGACATGCAGCTCAAGGACACCGACGTGGATTCGCTCGACTTCATGCGCCGCGTGAGAGAGGCTATCATCAAATGGAAAGCTGGCACCTCAGAGTCCCTTGCCATCACCACTCACACCGGCCTCAAAGAACAGCCTGCTATTCCAACAATATCCCGCTTCGAAAAGCGCCTCGTCCATCAACTCGTTAGAGCCGAGTATCCTGAGCTTGTATCCATGGGTCGCTCAGAATGCGTGCGCATCATCAACTTTGACCCTTTACGCGAGGCCGACAACAACCGACGCATCAAGAGCCGCGTCAAGGAGCAGGTTAACCGTCAATCGGGCTTCCGATGGGTGTTTGAGGCACTGGCCCAAGGTAACCTAGACCATGCAGAGCCTCTCTATGTCGCTGGCAACATAACTGCAGATTCTCACAATGTGCGTGACCGCTATGACAGGGCTGTTGAGCGACTGAGAACGCGGCAACCTGTCTTGGTGGGCCACAACATGTTCACTGATATCGTGTACCTGTACCGGACCTTTGTTGGCGAACTACCTGTAAGTGCATCTTGTTTGATACTCCATGTCAATCGTGACCTGGGCTGTCTTTAATCATCACCAACATTGTCAACATCATCTTACTCACCCCACCCAGGACACCCTACAAGGCTTCCGAGACGCCATCCACAAGGAGTTTCCGAAGATTGTCGACACCAAGTACCTTGCTACACATGCTGAAGGGGACCTTAACGCGTCACCCACCTTGCAGGAGATCGCCGAAGGGTTGACCAAGCAGCCGCTGCCCGACATCGTCACCCACACAGACCACTCGAAGTACCAAGAAAAGGAAGCTTTCCACGAGGCCGGCTACGACAGTCTCCTAACAGCCACGATCATGATCCGTCTTGCTGCAAAGTTGGGCGCCGAGCACGAGAAGAAGCATCCCTCCAACATCGCACCTCTCACCAACGGGGCCAAGAACACAAATGGGGACCTTGAAGACTTTATCCGTGACGGCCGAGAGAAAGCCCAGAAGCCTGTCGCCCTGCCACCCCTCGCTGACATTAGCGCCGTAACAGGCAGACAGAAGCGCAAGCAAAAGAAGAAAGTCAAGAGCAAAGAAGCCACAGACCGACGCGCCAAGACCAAGAACATGTTCGACAATCTCCGCGACTTGAGCCTCGACCCCGAAGCCGACGAAGCCGCTTCACCAGAAAGCGAGCCAGCGATCGACTTCGAGGACGCCGAGGCATGGAAGGACGAGCCCGCCGCGGAAGCCGGATCCTGGGAAAACGAGCTCTTCGTACAGGACAAGAGTGGCTGGGTGCCCATTGAGCAGTCTGAGCGGCATGTTATGGAAATGATACCGAAGCTCGACGGCGACTCGGCGTTCTGGAAGGAGTTTGGAAATACGTTGAGGGTGTTTGGGACGCAGGAGGCGGTGCTGAAGATTGCGGATTGGTGAGCGCTGCGTGCGCATGACGTCAACTTTGCTACAAACAAGGAGAAATGATCAATTTTCACACCCAGTTCGGCATGAGCTACTCTCTTCGTTCATCTTCCCTAAGCAGCCTCACTTCACTGACCTATGCTTGAAATCTTGCCGCTATAACCGCGCTTCTTCGATATAAGATCTCTGACTTAGCACTAATTCTTCCCTCTATCACGCTCCTAAACCATCAACCTCAACCTCAACCTTAAGCCATCCACACATTCATATCAGCATTGCTCTTTTTACGACAGAATGCCCCCTCGGATACACGTGACGGACAAGCGCAGTCGCGCACTGACTCTTTTGTCGTAGAATCTCTGTTCTGTGCATGTCACGGGCCAGTGAGTGAATCTGGCATGACTATGGACTAAGCGGGGAGGCTTGTGCTGCATGGAGGGAAGACACAAGCAGAATGGAGGCACACGAACCCTTCAGAGTTTCGTCTTCTTGCCCGGAGACATCAATGGTTCATCTCAACAAAGCGGGCAAGTCCGGAGAGGGACTTAGTGTCGAAGTAGTACATACTGCATGTCCATTGATTATTGCTTTTGGTTTACATTGTGTATCGAGTCGAACGCTCGTGTGTATATATACTTCCCTACTCGAATGCTGAGATGGCAAGACGCTCACTTCAACTCTGCAGTCGCGGTTGTCGCGGCTGCTGGATATTCCGCAGAATCTCTGCCATCTTCGGGGATTTTGCCCTCCAGGCTGGTGCGTGCAGCCAACTGTTCAGCCGCACCCGGGGCAAAGTCGCGGTACTCGGAGCTCGTGCCTAGACGGACGCCCAGGTAGATAGTCAACAAGAAAGTGACACACAGCATGGCGAAGACAGTCCACTTCGGAGAAGATTAGTTCATGTTGAGAACAAGTGTGAATGCAGTACTTACGTTGCCCATTGGGTAATTCGGCCCATCTGTGCTTGGAAACAGGAATGGCGCGCTGATACCTCCACAATTCGAGATCGCGATCGTGACACCAGTAGCCAGCGCTGTCGCTGTTGAGCCAGATACGGTGGCTGTGCGGTGAGCCAGGAATGGCATGACGGCTGAATTCGTGCACGCAATCAGGAACACTGCGACATAGCGAGCGATCCAGTTCTTCAAGAGTGCCAAAAGCAGGTATCCGGTACCAACGAGGACGAGACCAGCCAACGCATGGCGTATGCGCTCCCGCGAGTAATCGGAATGCAGGCAGTTGCCCAAGATGATGAGCAAGCCGAATACGTTCGGGGGAACGGTAAGAAGTTGCGCGATGTAGCCCTTGAAGCCGAGGTTGGCGACGATCGTGGGCGAGAAGTAACTGAAGCTGTTCAAGCTGTTGACCATGAAGAAGTAGCTGACAGCATAAACCCAGAACAACGGATCGAGCAGTGTCTGTTTAGCGATCTTGGCGTTGAAAGTCTTGTCTTCTTTGTTTGGGGGCGAAGGGTCCCATGCGGGCGATGGCGAAAGCGCGTTCTTCCTCCGTAAAGAACTTTGCGTCTTGAGGGTAATTGGGCATCCATATCCAGACCACGATACCGAACAGTACCGCGGGAATGCCGGTGAGGATGAAGAGCCATTGCCAGCCTGCCAGGTTGGCTTTGCCGTTGAGGAAGGAGATGCCCGTTGCTAAAAGGCCGCTGAATGCGCCGGCTACGGCGACGGATCCAGCGAAGATGGCGAGTCGCGTTGCACGTTCTGACGGCTTGTACCAGTAGCACAAGTACATGACAACACCTAAATGGCAAGTCAGTACGATTTTCACCTTCAACCTTTGTATAAGGATCACACACCTGGAAAGAAACCCGCTTCAGCGACACCGAGGAAGAATCGCACCGCAAGAAGACCAGAGAAGCTCGACACAGCTGAAGTACAGATCGTGATGACGCCCCACGAGATCATGATGCGGCCAATCCATACCGAAGGAGAAAAGTACTTCATGGCGAAATTGCTGGGTGCTTCGAAGATAACGTAGGGTACGAAGAAAACTGCAACTGCGATATTGTAGCGATTGCCGGTAAGACCGAGTTCCTTGACGATGTTGCTCTCCGGGATATCATTGTTGAGTGTACGCGCATTGCCCAAGTTTACCTGCATGCGTGAGTGATGTGATATGTCTTGGCTAGGCGATACATACTCGGTCAAGGAAGTTGATCAGGTATGATATGCAAATGAACGGTAAAATCCACGTATCGATTTTCCGGACAACACGCCTCTCCATTGCCTTGTCGTTCAGATCGGGAACGTATGTCGAGCCGACGGCAAAGTCCTGCTCAACGCGGCCCTCATCTTGGGGTTTGGAGTCGAAGGTCTTCATGATGGTGATAACTGAAGTCCCGCGTTACTGCAAGAAAGTCGTTGTATGCAACGATCACGGTAATCTACAGAAAACCCCCTCTTGCGAAGGATATCAACGGCCATTTGAACAACTTGTGTTATCGCGGAGATGTACACTCGTCCACGGAAACCAGGCAAGCTGCGGTCTTAGTGAATGATAAGAGATAAAAGCGTTCGCATGGCCATCAGCAGAAAGAGCATTCTATCAATAATTTCCACACCTGATAGCGTCTTTCGCAGTGGAGACGTTCGTCTTGGGTCAGGGGGCGTAACCAATCATGCACTTTGACAGGTCCGGAGATCCGCCGACGCGATGTCGGCGCAGGGTTTCCAAGAGCCCAACACGGCGGATGTCGGAAATGCACGACTCGTTACGAGGCATGATCGGAGCAATGGTGGTTGGTTAATTGATTGATGGACGAACATCAGGAGAGATGGAGATGGTTGGTGGGACGTTCGCGATGTGTTTGGTAGCAAGGACCATGAAAGTGGGGGCGAGGAGCGCCCCCACAGGAACTTCACTGAGTCCACTCTGCATGTACTTACAAGCACAACGCATGGACACTGCAACACGACTTTGGTTCATGCAACGGCTGGCAATATCGAGACAACGACTGATGTAATGGCGTCCCAGTGAACATACGCGACTCAATCAAATGATCTATCCTCCATCCAGCAGAATCCCACTACCCGTCACACAAATGGCCAATCTCATCACTCACAAGCCATACCGACGCTTCGAGAGTCATCCGGCCTTGCAATACTCGCCGTCGGATACAGTGATCTCAACTTCTCCGCCCTCTTCCCTTTCGTTCGCCTCAGTCTGGACACACCGTGGCGACAGCCCTGACACGACTATCATGCGGCGCCCATTCTTGCGCAACTGACTTCGTCATAAGTGCAGTTGCGGGATTATATACAAACTGCCTTCTGCGGACTGCCGACGATTTAGCAGACCTAGAAGCCATGACGAGGATGCGACGGTTGACTTTGTTCTCGAGTCGCGAACTTTCTGCAGTTTGAGAGAAAATATTGAGCCTGCAAACATGTTGTTTGCTTGTAGTTTCTTTCGGAAAAGGTGTCGCATTCGTAGCCATAGGAATTGGGCTTAGCTGGGTTGATGATTTGTGCGAGCAACTTACGCTAGCGTTCCGGTGTTTCAAAGCACTTTGAGCGCGAGAAAGGGTAAGCAAATGTCGTTGGAGAGACCACAACCGAGCCTGCAACATGTCACTTTAGTTTCCAACGGTCGCATACGTGCAAAGGAGGGTACATAAAGACTTCGAGCGAACTACGTCGCTCCGTGGTAGTACAGAAGCTGTACCCATAATTGGGATGATCGTGTCTTATAGCTCCCTCAAAGCAAGAGGAGCGGCAATCAGTTCCTGTGCCTTTGGCTGTATGTGTATGCGTAGAGCAAACACTGCGCCATGTTAGAGGCAAATAATCTTGGCAGCAACGAGGAAGAGATGAAACGGGAGTATTGGATGTAAAATGTATTGATATGTGATAGTCCTCGCAGACTCAGCTGTAGACTAGTCCTTGACCCGTTTCAACGCCTGATATCCCGCGGAAGTTTGAATCGCTTTGCCATTTGTCGGATGCTGGTTTACATGACAGTGCACCAGCAGGACTCTTCGCAGCCGCAGCAGTCGCATTCCTCCCCGCACTTCGGGACAGGAGAGGGCTTGATGATGGTGGAGACGGTGGAGGCGATGCTGGAAGGCATTGTTGCGGTGTGGTGAGTGATTGGTTATGAGATTTGTTCTGAGAGAGAATGTGAGCTGATGTTACAAGAGTCATGCAATACATTCTTACTGATGAAGTCTGGCTTGATGCTTGGAAAGCCTGCTGAGGAAGTGAATGGATGTGTTGTAAGAGGAACTGAGTGCTGACGTGCTGTGGCTGAGGATGGAGATAGAGTTGCGGATGGTCAGACGCTTTATATGCCAGGAGGGGTCGACCATAGAACCGGCAATACTCTCCTCGTGTCACATCCTACAGCCATGTCACCGCTTGTTCCGTCAAGCCCCGGTCAGCCACTTCACCTGGAATGCAGGCTTCGTATGGCCAACGCTGTCTATCGGTCCTCGACCCCGGAATATGCATGTTTGAGGTAGTACGTACTGGCTCACGATTGGCCATGATGCATCCGCGCACCGCCGCAAACACTGTGCCACGTACTGCTGGAGGCTTTGACGCAATCTAAAACCACGCAATGAATGAAGGTGACCGAATCGGTGTGGCTCAGCTCGAACGGTACAGCGTCTCATTGGCTTGCTGTCGGCGCTATCTCGAAAACGGGCGTCCTGACCCTGTAAACTGACAGGGGGTGATTGCGTGGCTAAGCACAAATAAGCTTTTAGATCCTGGAAAATGCCTCAGAATAACGAGGCACAAGCATTGCCAAGGAAGCCGACAGGTGCTTGGCCGGTGAATGATGCAGCGCTAGCTCTATATCGATCGAGGCGTCGCATGTCTATGTGGCACAGGTGTGGCAGATGCTTGATGCGAAAGATGCCGTTGTGCAGCAGCAGCTGCTGCTGCTCGGGATGCGTGAGCGTCCCTCATTCTGAGCAGCAAACACGCCATAACACACAGAACGCTGCAAGCAATCAGACGATAACAGTTTGTAAGAAGTTTTCCCCAACGCAGACCCGGAACGAATGCTCTGCCTGCTCGATGGAAACGTGTGCCAGGTTGTTGATGACAGCTCTGTAGAATGCGATATTTGGCTAGTTCGGCGGTCCCATTGGAGGTCCGTTTGGAACGTCGGCGCTGGGAGTCTAGACTTGTACGTATATGCAGTCATGCCATCCCTGGCGATGACGATGACACGAAGTGCTGGTCGATTGAACGAGTGGTGTCCTGTGCGTAGGTCTGGTCGCTGCTTTGATGAGGCCAATAGCCCCAGTGCCGCTAAGTCTCTCGCAGCTTCCCCTCAGCTCACGATAACACCTTTCATCACATCACCATCAATCTCACGACGATGTGAGTGCGAAATCTTCGAAGAAAAAGTTACCTAATTCGATGCGCATACTCCCAGATACGTATCTGCCATCAATCGCCAACATGATGAAGCGTGAAACATTTTGCCTACGTGCTTGCTTTTTCAAAGCTCAATGACCGAATCCTCAGCCCTCAATCCACACCACTCAACGCTCTTCGCCCAAAGCATGCCCTGCACTGACTCAATAAGGCTGTAGAACGAGCTGTCAACCTTCGCCTTCCCTTCAAAATAGCCTTCTTGACCCGCGTATTCATCCGCAACGGCGAGATCAACAACAGGCTTCGCTGCCTGCTGAACGGACGCGAGCGCTGGCTGAAAAAGTCTAAGCAGAGGGAGCAACCAACTACCAATCGTCATCAGCACTTTGATGAACATCGGTACATGACTGCGCATGAACGTCTTCGAATCGATGAGATTTTGCGGATCGATAGTAACCACGCGTATCGATTCCGTATCTTTGTTCTACATCGTCGTTAGCATGCAACTGCGACGTCGAAACGCTTACTACTCACCTGCTTCAGTCTTCGATTCAGCTCATACGCTACCATTACTGTGACAAGCTTGCTAGTGCCATATCTCTGGAATCCTCGACCCAACTCTTCTTCTGGCTTATCTGGCTCTGGGTGCACGTGTAGATCCAGATCTGAGTATATGGCGGTAGGGTAGCCTTTCGAGAACGCAGCTCTAAGCGGGTGATGCGCTTCACTCCCGAGGAATACAAAACGGCCACGCTGCGCATCCATGGAATTGATGAGTCGCAATGAGAGCGAAAAGTGTGCGAGGTGATTGATCGCCATGGTTGTCTCGTAGCCATCTCCGGTATATGAAGGTCCACCTGACAAACGCCATGACATCGCGTTGCAGATGATCGCAGAAAGGCGAGGCAATTTTCCGTTTCCTATTTCTGAGCGCAGATCGTTGCAGAAGGTTTCTACCTCCTTCAGCGAAGCCAAGTCCAGTTTGCGGATGCTGGTTACTGCATCGGAATGTCCAGCAACGACTTCCTGCAACTCCGCGGTGTTCTTGTCTGCTTCTGAATCATCGCGGACGGTGAGGATCAATGTGAAGTCTGGGTACGCGTCGAGCAAGTACTTCACCATAGGAATGGCTAAGGATCCATTGGCGCCAGTTAAGAGAACCGACCCCGTCATTATGTCGTTCTGCGGCTGGCAGTATCAATCATTAAGCAAAGGTGAGGATGCCATGTTTCTTTACATCGCGAAGACAATGTGTGCATGTTGACTGTGCCACATGTTACAAATCCATGGTTGCCTAAACCCGCAGAATTCTCCGGAGACGAATCATCGGAAACGTCTAATTACGATCGGGAGCTTGCAGCCGCAACCCCAAATATTCATGGCTTTTTTGCAAGTCCACGATCAACAAGAAAATATGCCCTTGTACCTGCCTGGGTTTAGGAACTACTGAACGCTACTCCATTTATTCCGTCGGGTCTGTCTAACTTATGCTCCGATGTAGAATCGTTATACATCGCACTGTTCAAGCCTGCGACCTTAGCCTTGCATCTCGATGCCGCCCGAGCCATGCAAGACCTCTCCAGTGCAGTATGAACCTAGCGGCGAAGCAAGGTGAACATAGCAAGTCGCCATCTCCACTGGCATACCCGGTCTATTCAGCGGGCATGCGCCAACACCTAGTGAGTCCATCGACTCCGCCGGGTTGTTCTTGGTCGCAGGCTGCAACGGTGTCCAGCTACAATTAAGTTAGTATTAAATCAGTCAGGAACAGAGCCAACCTACATGATACCGGGAGCGACGGCGTTGACACGAATACCGTTCTTCGCCTGCTGTTGAGCAAGTCCGCGCGTAAAGGTAGCGATGGCACCCTTGGTCGATGCGTAGTCGAGAAGACTTGGGTTGCTCATGTACGCTGCGACAGAACTGCTATTGACGATGCTGTCGCCACGTTTCATGTGCTTCAAAGCGTACTTCGTCATCGCGAACATAGAGACAACGTTAGTCTGGAAGGTCTTCTCCGTGACGTCGAGGTCGATCTCAGTGATGTCCTCGCACATTTCCTGCATGGCAGCTGTTCGATAACGTCAATATGAGCAAGTTGGGTGATAGATCAATAACACTTACCATTGTTGACAAGTACATTGAGCTTGCCGAATGCATTCATATGGCCTTGTACGGCGGCCTGGCAGTTCTCCCTCTTCTTCAAGTCAAATTGCATCAGATTTGCCTTCCTGCCTGCTTCCTCGATCTTGCTTTTCACGAACTGCGCGTCCTCCTCTTCCTCTGGCAAGTACACGATACTTACGTCCGCACCTTCTCGTGCGAACAAAATGGCCACAGCGCGTCCGATACCAGAGTCGCCGCCGGTGATGAGGGCAGCTTTGCCCTGGAGGAGACCGCGGCCTTCGTACTCTTTGAGGTAAGGCTTTTGGTTCTCATCCCAGAACTCAAGACGCGTCCATTCTGTCTTTTGCTTAGTCGCAGCATCCGTTCCTGGGCCGCCTTCTTGGTTTTGAGGCTCTATGGAAGTAGCTGGGTATGCAGTGATTGGGGCGTCTTGGCTCATCTTAATGGTGGTATTCAAGAAAGTGCAGCAGAGCTTGGAGGGTGGCGTGAATTGTATTGAACAGGCACGAAGATCTTTAGAAGATCGTTCTGAATGTTGAGACGAGCGAAATTCGAAGTTCTGATTTGTAGATATGCGTATGTTTTGTCGATGAGGTCATGCATCGTCATGGCAAGGGACCTGTCAAACACGTCACTTTCAGACAGCACACATTCGATTTTGATGCATAATCAACACAATGTCTTTCAGTGATTACCTTAACATTTCTACTTCATTTTGCACTAGACTGCGCAGCCAAACAGCTATCAATTCGATCTGTCGGGAGCCGTCAAGGCCCGCAATGAGACTTTTGATGCAGTTACTGTCCGCAGGTAGATCATATGCCAAGTCGAAGAACGCACATAACATTTTCCTTTATTGGTGGCACCGCACACAAGACGGAAAGTACAGTGCTCGTAGCCTTTCCTCTAGTACTCAGTGTAGTCCACGAAACTGTGACACGGGATGATTCTCTTCAGTACAGACGCGAGTCGACATGGCGTCGTGGAACAAGGGATCTTCAGGGGCTGTCAGCACATGAATCCTCTGACGTTGGTAGCTTAGGATCCCTGCCTCATAGTGCGATACCGCCGACGAAGAACCTAACCAGGAAATTTAAAGAGAAAGGAACTCCAGGTATATCTAAAGTTAGTATATAATGTCAGATTTGAAGGCATAGTCGCCACATAAGAGCTCCAGCAGTTATAATTAGAATCGAAGAACACTAATGATCGAAAGAAGCGGTTTGGCAATGAGTGAGAACAAGGAAAAGGTTAGCATAATGCTGATCAACCCCGCGAAACGCACGCACGGGCTCCACTGCTAAGAGTCCGATGGCCGGGGTCTTTAGAGTAGGGATCGGCCTTTTCGACTGCAAGGATCGGTGTAGCAATTGAATTTGAAGCAGACCTAGGTGCATGCGTTTGAGGTATCGCAGTTTAGGGAAGTCCGCGAAGTGATCATATCCGGCCGTTTCAGTTTTACCTTGGACCAGGTATTTCTCTCATGGCTCACGATATAGGTCGTTTTGAGAACAAATCGTTCAATGTTGTCATGTAAAACAGAACCGTTGATAATACGGACCGATTCGGAGATTTGTGCGGAAGCTTGGAAACCTTAAAAAAGTACACGTATATATATAGCCCTTTGGCATCTGTGTTGAGGCAGGTAATACAGGTCACCTTTCAGATTGCTTGTGCTCATCTCTTTACTTAAGTTATATACACCATCAAGACCTCTGCTTCAGAATACTCCAGCGTCACAGCAATATTACCAGCCCTACAGTTTTGCAGCACCGTCTTAAACATATTCTCTCTACTCCAATAGAGTCAGGAACAATGCGTGTTACCAACATTTTAACTGTCGCCATGGCTAGCACAGCATTTGCATACGTGCATGACGCCTCCGAGGACAAAGTACAGGCACGAGCGATCACTGACGAGGTATGTGTCCTGCCAAACGCAGAACCAAGACAAGTAACTTCTGACATGGCTCGAGTCGAACAATTTACTTGCTCCTCGTCAGAAATATGTTGGTGCCGGTGGAAGTACTGCTCCCTTCAGTGCTGCTGCTTTCCTGTTCCCTCTCGCAGCCATGGTCGCATATGGTCTCTAAACGCACCACTCATGATTTGGAATATAACAGAGTCATTCGTTCTGCAGAGTCGTTGTCACGTGCACCATCATCTAAATGCGCAGTGAATGGAGGACCACATCTTTATTCCAAATAACTCCCCTAGAACAAACTATCTAATTATTCATCTTTCTTATATGTATACTTATGCCTAGTGATTGGCCAATGAGCAGAAGGCTTCTTGTTGGGCTAAATCACTAAGGACTCTGGAATCAGACGTGCACGTAATTAACGAGGAGCCAGGCTATTGACGAGGAGCTAGGCTATTAACGAGGAGACTTGCTTTAACGAGAAGATATGTTTTCAACAGCTTAGTGATTAGCTAATAAGCAGAAGGCTTCTTGTTAGGCTAAATCACTAAGGACTCTAGAGTAATAGGGAATCAGACGTGCACGTGATCAACGAGGAGCTAGGCTATTAACGAGGACCTAGGCCATTAACGAGACTTGCTTTAACGAGGAGATATGTTTTCAACGAGCTAGGGGCTTCAGCGGGCTAGAGGCTTTAACGGGCTAGGGGCTGTAAATAGATCCTTATAACTCCTCACGTGACGCGCTTAGGCTATCTTATCGATAGCAAGGAACATTAAAACTACAAGCACGGACGAAAAACGTCGTCTTTGCACGGCAACGGCGAGGGCTACAGAGGATATTTTTCCTCCGGAGTTAGATATTCTAGTAGGGGCGAATTAGACGGTCCCTTCAGGATAGCTACTAGCCCTTCGGGACCGCTGCGCGGTGAGACCGACATTCTAAACTATAGATTAGATGGTACTCTGTCTTATTGCAACCTTGTTACGTCAAGTCTCAATATCGCTTTGTCCAGCCATATCCTCGGCCTTTTCCTGCGGTTGATGTGGCGGATGTGACTGTCCACCAAGCCTTGATTTCCTACCCTTCTGCCTCCTTCAAAGCAGTATGCCCATGCCGCACGCTCAGCCTCTAGCTCCACCATTCTCACTAGCCAAGTTTTGAGCACGTGGATAGCTTGTGTTGCGGCACCCGGTCTACGAAGTTTCAATGCTGACTGATTTACGGCCAGTTTTCCTCCAACGAGACAGCCCTGGAGATCGGCAACGGGCCTTCACATTGATCTATACTCATACTCGTTAGAAGTGTCCAGGATGCGCCTTGGCTTTTAGACACCCTGTCCTTCCGTGTACCCCGTGAACGCTTAATCGGCAGTGATCTGCACTACTTGTCTGCGGTAAGTATTCTAAATCAGTCCAGCGATTGAATTTGCTATATACATTATGTCTATTACGCTTAAGCTTCTCTCAAAAAAGTAGTAGTATACTATTACTTACTAAAGATAATTACTTCTAATTACAGAGACTAATTTACTAGTAACTTGTAGAAGACTACACGTATCAACAACCAAACTTCGGATCGCATAGGTAATATTCCCGTCATGGAACCTCTACTGCTCAGCTAAGACTCTCCCGGGTCCGAGGCAGGGGAGGCAAGACGTGATTCCTACCGACCTCGGGAATATTCAACAATCCTGGTCGTAGACTGAATTTGTAGACTAAGAAGAATTCCCACTAGTTAAAACATATCTTCCACATTCACTATGCTTGTAGAAATCACCGAGAACCATTTTACTCAAGCTCTATAACTTGTCAATTCACATGCCTCGGATTGCAGCAGCGTGCCGCTCTGTCGTCGTTGCTGTCGCACTCGTAATCTTCACGCTTATTTCCACCGCTCGATCTTTCCAACCCAAATTGCCCGAGAACAGCATTTTTGGAACATGTGCAACTCTGGTTCCGGAACACTACCTCCAGATTGCGCAGCCACACAGCCATCTCTTCGATGCATCAGAAGAACTCAAGGCCCGCGATGAAACACTTGAGGCATTACACAACTTACAGGGGATATTCTTCAAGCCATGGCTAGGGACTTGGCGTGGCGTCGAGCAGTGGCAAACTGCGTTTCTTGTATCTTGTCTGGCAGGTGTCATACTGTCGCTCTCCGAGGACATCACGGAAACTACACAACTGAAAACTATAAACGCAATCGAGCGGTACTTCACGAGTATCACGAGCGCTTTTTTGAAACAAAATGTGGACGACATGATTATCAACGCACACGATGATAAACTATGGGTGGCTGTTTCGTGGATTGAGGTTGCCAGGATGATCCGCATCTACTCACGACGACATTATTCGGACCACTCGCCCCTCCGGATCGATACCAACGGGGACTGGCATGGCACACTTTGGCTACCCCTGATGGCAACTCGAGCTGTGATCTTCTGGCAGGCTTCCACATCCGACTCGGATGCGTTTGCATGCCAAGGGGGCATTACGTGGGATCCTCGTCGCGCTGAGTATAAAAACTCTATCACAAATCAACTTTGCATGATGACAGCTATTGAACTGCACCACAGCCTTCCCCAAAACTGGAGAAACACCTTCCTCAATGAGATAGAAGAGTCGTCTTTCGAGCCTGTCAACGAAGGCCAGCACCTCCGGGCAGCGGTTGCTGCGCACGAATGGATCGCTGGTGCCGACTTGACAAATGAAAATGACGTTTTCGTTGATGGGTGGCACTTTGTAGCAGACGGAAATTCTGGTCAAGCCGTGCTTGGCACTCGGGACGAGTCGGTCTTCACGTACAACCAAGGTGTCATACTCGGGGCGCTGAGAGGACTATGGGACGCAACGGCTAAACCGTGCTTTCTCGAAGATGGCCACAAGCTAATCCAAAGCGTCATCAAAAGTACAGGTTACGACTTAGCTAACGACAAGCCATTCAAAAATCGCGTTGTTCATGAGTCCATGCGTATTCCATTATGGCAAGGCTTGGGTCGAGCTGGCGTTCGGGAAGACTATTGCGACATCTCCGGTAATTGCACAAACGACGTGAAGCTATACAAGGCTATATTCATGCATTACTTCATCAGATTCTGCCTACCGTTGGATCAGAAAGACTTTCCATCGACATTGGTGTTCGACACAGAGATGGTAACCGCTGCCACTGCTGCCCACCATAAATCATGCTCATCTTACTTGGGATGGATAGCCCACAATGCTCGGGCAGCCCTTGGAACGAGAGACTCGAACGGAAGATTTGGCATGTGGTGGACGGACGGTCTTTACACCGCCGCTTTGCGATCTTTCCAAGTTATTCCAAACCATGTCGACATCCCTTCCGGATCGTCTCAGGTAGATCCTAATTTTTTCGACAAGTTCATGATCACTCTGGGCAATCCCAATGAACAACGATCCGGGAGAACAGCTGCAACTCAAGCAAGTGGTACAATGGTGGTCAAGGCTTGGTGGTCTCTTCTCAGGGCCCTGAGACCCAAAACCGAAACTGTCGCTGTAGCACATGCGCAAGATGGCTTTTGTAGAGAGTATCGTTAGGAATATCAACTGCTATTGTCCTTTGAAGTACGTAGCAAATCAACACACGCCCGTATTACCATGCGAGTGCTTATACTGTCCAACAACTTACTTGACCCATTCTCCATGCTTTGTCCAAGTACCGGGATTAGTATAGTCCAGGGCATGTCGATCTTTCAGGTACCCAAACCTGAAAAATTCATCAGATTTTGCAAAATCCTGCCTAGACCAGGTGAATTGATTCGCAGCCACAGAATTGCCATCGAAATATGCCCTGAACCTCTCTACATCATTTACCAACACGCTCATGCCGTCCGCATCGATCGTGTTACTCGACGTCTCCCACGAAAATGTTATGTTGGATAGTTTCTCTTCAGTGCATACGCGGGTCGAAGAAAGTTGTGGGACAATAGAGTCCAAGGGGCCGTCACCGCGTAAATCCTCCGATGTTTGCAGCACGGGATCCCAGCCCCATCGTGCGATACCATTGATGAAGAGCCCGACGAGAATACCTTGGTAGAGCAAAGACCTTCGTGTACGTATAGCAGTGCCAGGTATGAGAATCAAGGCCAATATGTAATGATGGATCCGAAGGTGTAGTTGCGGAACGAGCGATCCAACAGCTAGACAGATGGAAGTGGCCAAATATCGCTTCAACAAACTCTTAGCACGTCCCTCAACTGCAAATGCTTGGAGCTGAGAAACACTAATGGTGGAGAGGAGCGCAATTATGGCAATGAGCGAGAACAGGGCACCCGGCTGACGATGTATGTCGTGTGGGGTCAGACGCTGTATGGGTATCCAGCGCAAGGTGTAGTTTTCGTGAGCGCCGAGCCAGCATCCTCCTAGCCAAAGGATGGTTTGGTCCAGCCGCCCTGAAAGTCCACTGAGTACATATTTGACACCCATCTGTTCGTACATAGTCCAGCATGTGAACAACATTGGGAAAAATCGCCCCGTTAAAACTGAAAAGAGTCTTGGGAAAGAGGAAATAGCTGGAGGGTCGGATACGAGACCAACATGCCAAAATACAATGAACGTGGTCCCCCAAAAGAACGCAACCGGTGATGTCGCAGTGAAGGACCATAGAGTTGACGCTGAGATGGACGCCAAGAGGACCATCCATCGTGAATCCCTGGCTCGACACTGTGCTTCCTCAAACATGAAAGAGAGGGGAAATGAGGAGTCAAAGTGAGAGCTGTTGATGCCATTCCGGTGTGAGCCAGTGTATGCGTCACGTTCTCCGACCAGGTTCACTATGCCACAACCTCCATGTGCATTTGACACCGTGCCGTTATGAACGGCAGCAACACAGATCTGGGAATCGCCCCGGTATGTCCACGGCTGGTTTTTGTCTCGGTCTATTCCCGGTGATCCACCGACAACCATGTGCGTGTATATGAGATTTTGGTTCCCAACCGTCCGCGGATTCCATAAGCGATGGTCCGCGCAGTTCGCCGGACATGTGAACGCGAAGCGATGATTTGCGAAGGGTCGACAGTCGTGTCCATCAATACCACACTGGTTCCCCGGCAACCATAGTGAACTGCCGCACGAGAGTTTTATGGGAGGACCTACATCATCAAGATCTTCGGCGTTGTATTGGCGATTGAGTGTGGTAGCCAAGACTCCTAGCCACGTAATGATAATAGTTGCGCGTACTAGAATGCGGAAGTGGTTCTTAGACAATACAGCGTGAAGCGCAACTGAGAGCATCAGTTCAACACGAGGGAAGAGAGGCACGACCTCCATGCGGCTTGGGTGGCGGCTCTCAGAGAATGATGGTAACACAAGGCGACGCTTCTTAATGGGCAGCCAGTCCGAGTGTGGAACATTATCGTCAGCCATAGCAACGCTGGGCTAGGTACACTTCGGGTTTTTGGTCCTGGTTTCTAAAGGTGGCTCGTTCGGATCTGGAAGATTGTAGGGCTTCTGCTAATATTTCGCGAGGTTTTTCAGTCGATACTTTGGTTGATACGGTCAACCAATTGGGGTGAGATCATGGGTTTGTAAAAGACATTCTTGTCTCGATGGAACCCAGCGAGAAGACAGAAATACAGTCTGCATCCGCCTCTGCAGCAACGGTAGGAAGAATTCAGCAAGTCGTCAAGAGATGATCGGTTAATGCCGAACAATCCCGCAATACGCACGCACCGGCTCAACCTCTAAGAATCCGATGGCGTAATCTAAGTACAGGACGGATCGGCCTTTGATACAGAAGTGGGTTACATAGTAGTTGAAGCAGACTAACAGGTGCCTACATTTGAGTGGAATCAGCCAGGGAAAAGTTGGCCAAGCACTCAGGCTAGACCATTTCAGTCTGAGATTACGATCGATGTTTTTTCCATGGCTCATTCATCATTGCGTCGGGAATTACTCGTGATAGACGGGAATAATTTGTGATAGACGGGAATTATTTGTGATACTAAGTCAAAGGCCGGGAGCTTCGGAATCTTGAAATTCCCGGGCTTCGGAGCTACTGGGCTACCGGAGGTTTGGATATACGTTTGGAACTCGGGTACCTCTTTCGGGGAAATATATGCGCGCAATTTTTGAACTTACTTGGACTTGATACCTGTATGTGCATCACGCAAGCACCTTCATGCTTCAGGCATATAAAGCGCTGAGGTCTATGCTTTGACATTACCTCGCCAGAATATCACACTTCTGCTACTCCTTCTCCAGCTTTCTACAATTGCCTAAATCTTTATCTCAACAAAACTGAGAATCATGCGTCTTTCCAGCCTTCTTACTCTCGTCATGGCTAGCACGGCCTTCGCCTACTTGAACCAAGCCCCTGAGGGCAAAGTTCAGGCACGAGCAGTCGCTGACGAGGTATGTGACCTAACGAACGCGGAGTTTCCTTTACTTACTACTGGTGTAGGCCGAGGCGATCAACCTTGAAGCTCGTCAACGCACCAGTGGTGCCAGCTCGCTGTCCAGCAGCGCTGCCGCTATGCTTCTCCCTCTGGCTGGTATGGTCGCGTATGGCCTATAAATACCTTCTTGATGCAGAGGATTCAGAATCTGGTCGTTTTATGGAGCACTCAAGAAGCTCCCACCATCCAGATACGCAGGAAACGGGAGAGACATATATCTAGACGCGATTAGATACGCTAAAATCAATCCTCTACCTCTCTATCTCTCATATGTGCGCATGAAGTGTCCTACACGGTCGCAGACTTGGAAGCATCGAATAAACTATCTGCTACAACTACCTCTGCGTAGCTTTCCCGAACGCCTACGTTCCTTTGCCAGTCTCTAGCTGCAATAAGGTCTCGTACTTCTGAATCCGCTTATCCTTGAGCTTTTTGCTTCCATACCATGAGGATGGGCCCTCAATATTGGCTACTTACGGTATTCTAGCCTCAAACGTTGTGTCTGAGTGCCACCAACGCCGATACCTTCTTGACCTGTGGGTTAATATCAGTGATAGAGTCAGACACGAGCCTTTCTAGTCCCTATACTTATCAAAATCAGCGTTATTTGAGCTTCTATCTCAAAGTTGTCGGCGCGCCAGGCCTTACTTCAAGCTTGGATAATAACACCTCTCTATGATCCGGACTAAACCAGTTGTAGCTTGCACCAAAGCTTCCAAGACATGGCCCTTCGAAACAAATTGTCAACTGCTATCTCAATGGCGGGTAGAGAGGCTTCTATGTCGATGTGGTGGAAGCATCTGTCTGTGATGCTCAGCCCTCATCGGTAAGCCTTCCATAGTACGTACTTCATCTCAAATCTCGCGTCCCACTGACCAATTTACCTAAGCGTGGGTAAATTCTCCCAGTCTTCCATGGCTACGACGAGAGCAATAACGTGATTTTCCAGACACATGTGGTAGTCGCAATAGCGGAGAAGTAGTTTCTCAACGGCACGGATTCCTAAGTGTTCATGCGCAATTCGCACTCGAGGCTTGCGCGATGATCGCAGGGAATTAATTGTACCAGCGGCTGGCTTTCGGCATCGCATCATCCCAACTGTCCCAACGACGCGTGTAACAGCCGAGTTTGTACCGACAGCACGTTAGTTACTAGCGATTATCACTATTGTCTCGACCCCAAAGACGATGTAGATCGATGCGATGAGCGTGTTTCATCGGGGCATCGTTGCCCAATCCTGTGGTCAATCCGAGTGAGGGCAGCTCTCCAACTCTACCACGATTATGATAGTCTAGAAGCTATATGAACTTATTTTTTTTTGAGCAGAATCGTCCCCGTTTGTCTGCGATGAGTTCATGAACAGTGGCACGCATCCCACTGAGAGCATTCCATCAGTCGCTATGAAGTATGAAAAGTTAGGTCTATTTCTTATGCACATATCTGACATCTCTATCATAGCTTTCCTTTATTTCCCCTCTGACTAGGAAGATAGGTTAGCGGCGGCCTTTCACATCGGTACGTACTCATGCTGGCCAGAAGCGTCCAGGGGCGTCCAGGATGCGCCCTGACATATCGACATCCCGTATTTCCGTACCTCGTGTAGATGCTAACTTGGTAATGATCTGCGCAGCTTGCATATCTATTGATGTATACTACCAAACCTTCAGTATTCCGCCCAGTTCCGGCGGTCAGATTTGCAACATCGCCTCTCGTCAGCAACTATGGATACAGTTACACTTCCCCCTCCCACCCCAGCGTACTTGGCGCGCAAATCCAAACCTCCGGCTTTAGCCTTAGCACGCTAAGAGAGCTATCGATCTGTCTAGAGTATAGCACCATCGACCAATCTTTCCACACGAGTTGCTCTACCACTAGAAAGTACCGCACACAATCAGTTGAGACCTGCGGTCAGCGCATCAGGTGCAAAGTGCGGGGTGAGCAATAGAATCTAACTACTGCAGCAACAGTAAGTGCAAGACAAGCACGCGACGTGTCCAATCGGTGCTACTTTCCGGTGATAGACGGGTGTCACGGTAGCCGTCATCTAAGCCATCTCCTTAACACTGACGGCCAGACTGTGTAGGGCCGAAGTGCGGACGTTTCGGTCCGCGCCACGATCCGTTCCACCTTATGTACTTTAGACGGGCACTCACCAGTATGAATTGAGTGTCTGGAAACAAGGCGCCCTGCACAAACATTTGTGAACATTCTCAGCTTTGCTATTTGTACATTTTTTTCAATAATAGCCATGGCACATGAAAATACTCAGCAAAGTGTTCAAGAAGATCACCCAGATGACAACCTGGCCCCAGCAAACGCATGCGATCAATGCTGTCGTCGAAAGACAGGTTGTTCGAAAGAGCACCCGAAATGCCAAAGATGCAAGGAGGATGGGCGTATGTGCACGTATTCTATCCGTAGAGGTGCAGGCCGACCAAGGAAGATGTCCAAACACAACATTGATCAGTTCGCCTCGTCCAAAAGAGACTTGACCTCACGTAGGCACATTGGTTATGGGTCCACTAGACACTTGGCTAATTTTGTGAGAATTTCCAAACTCATATGCGACGCAGACTGCTACCCCACATTCAGAGCCCTCGCTATCTACCCCAACGCCCTTTAGCCAATCAGGAGAGAAATTGTATTTTGACTTAAACTATGCAGCAAACCAGAACATTGCCTTAAATAGCTATTCCCAAGCCCCGCAGTACTGGAACGAGGATCCCCCGCTAGTTTCACAACAGTCCGACTGGATGTCTCCGAGTGCTCTGGAACGTGTACAAGAGCGGAATCCATCTGGAAACTGCAGTTGTGTTGCCAGCCTTCTAGAATCTTTACGATCTATGACACCAATCGACTATTTTAATGATGCAACGAAAACTGTTAGTCCCGAGGCTATAGGGCTGATTCGCTCATCCTATAGTACATGCGAGCGACTCATTCAGTGTCCGCATGTTCATCAGAGCGCATGCATTGCGCTCCTCCTCGCTATCATGCAGCATATTGACGATATACTCTATCGTATGACTGCTGTTTTCAAGAGGGAATGCAAAGCTGCTATAAGACTTGAGAACCACAAAAGTCGCGACAAAATCACACCGTTTCTCAGAAGAAGTGACCTTATGCGAGGAATAATGGTGCTTGCGGCAGCGAACTCGATGGATCAAACTGAGTATGGTGTCGAAAAGGATACCCTACGGCCAATCGGAATGTTGCAAGAATACATCAACGAACTTCAGGGTAACTTTGAAGCGCGAATTCCAGAGCTATTTTAAGTGACTTGTTCCACAAGCGAGTGAGTTCCATTGTCATTTTCAGAATGAAATGACTACTCATAACTCTAATCAGCAACTATGAAATAAGTCTTTTAATTTCAGCCACCAGTCGCTATGCTAGCTGAACCTTCGTACCACACCGCGCCATGGGGTTTATACGAAGTGTGATGTGCAGAAATTAGAATTGTGGTTTCATTATTCATTAAACTGGTGTTAAAGCTCTTTTCATTGCGCGTCAAGATAAAGAAAGTGGCTAGAAAGTAGAGGTTATAACTAACCTCAGGCATGATGTTAGGGTCTTCACAGTTGTCTGACAAACCTCCTGACGTTCAATACGGTGAGCAGCTGAGTATTCAGCTTTACATCTCTAGCGAAAAGGAAGAAGAAAAGCCCTAATTAAGAATAACCATTTGAACTCCTTGTAATTACAGTTGCAGATAAGGGTAGGGGCGAAGTTCCTCTTTCTTAGCAGACCTCAGATGTAACCTTACGCTATCACCACCACCACCACCTATACCAGAGGCCTGCGCGCATCTTCAATATGCCTAGAGGACTGATCATGCCCCTAGGCACACCCTGAGCTGCATGCACAACGTGTGCTTCTACGTCTTCCTCTGCCTTTGTCTTTGCAAAGTTTCATCCGGAAAAGCGGAAATTATGACAAGATTTGATCCTCTGCTAAGGTTCTGTTAGATACTAACTAGACTATTGATACATTTTTACATCTTCAACGGGATACAGTGTGTTGGCCCTTGACCGCATCTCCGAAGCGATCACTATGCTATCACATTCACATGCTCACTTCATGCTCACTTCAATTTATAGAACACGGAGCCTACTGGTAGCTGCCCCGATGTATGATGAAGATTGGTCTTAGAGTTCTGAGCCAAATCGAGTAGCTCAAACTATGAGATGTTTGGGCGAGCTGTCAGAATTACTCTCAGATATGGTTAAACCTGTGGTCGATCTGATTTGCTAAGCATCAATACAGCTATGTACTGCCGAGTTGAGGAAATCCCTCTTCATTCAGACTTTACTGATCCAGTTCCTCTACAAAGCAAAACGAAAATCGGGATGCTCATCGCCGAGCTCTGCAATGGTCTTCTCGCTCGTTGGAAATTGCACCTTTCCTTGCTCTCGCTTGTTGTTCTCTCGCCTACATCCGAACCATAAGATTGTCGCAGTCAGGGCTCCCATACATGCAAGGCCAAGGCCTGTGCTGAAACCAGTCTTGAATCTCGGTGTCTCCTTGAAAAGAAAGACATTGGAACTTACGAACGCACCAGCAGTACCGAAATTGATGATGGCTGCCAGCGCCACTGCACGCTTGTTCCCACTACCACAGTTGATAGAAACCCAGATGATCGATATGGGCATGGCGAGGTAGCACCCACAAGCAATGAAAAACATGCCCATGTATCGCACTTTCGGATTAGGAGGGTACGCAATCTCTACTGCCAGACCTGTGGCAAGTGTGAGGAAGCCCATGACGTAGAAGTAATAACGACGCTGCAGCCACTCGCTTGTATAGGCGAAGATGACTGAGAATGCCGCACCGACGAGGTATACAGGGATAGTGTGTACTTGGGCTTGAATGGCGGTGTATCCGAGACCTTTGAGGATAGTAGGCTGGAAGTTGGCAAGAGAGTTGGCATTCTCTGTGACACCGAGGTTCATGAGGACACTGGCTAAGGTCAGTACTGGATTTCAAACTTTGAGCATCTGCTTACCCAGCCCAGATCTTCCAGTCTTTGAGATAGTGAAGGGCCTCCTTGAACGTGATGTCTTCTTCGGACACAGAGTTTCCATCAGCCTTGATTCGCGCAAGCATGAGGGCCTTATCTTCAGGCGACAAGAATTTGCACTCTCTTGGGAACTGCGGTATGGCTGGCCAGGTGGCCATACTAACGAAGATAGTGACGCAACCCTCAATAATGAAAATCCTTTCAGACTTGTTAGCCGCAGTCTCCAACATTTGTTAAAAGAGTTTACACACCATCGCCAGGCTCCGTACCCTGCAGTGCCATCCATCCTCGCGATCAATGACGAAAGAAATCCATTGATGGCACCAGCAATGATACCAGCGGTCAAGAACAAGACGTAGCGGGTCAAGTATTCCGTCTTGGTGTAGTACGATCCGATCAAGTAGGCGGCACCAGAGATGAAAGCAGACTCAGCCATGCCTTCAAGCAGACGACAAATGACGAGCTGCTCCCATTTCTTGACCAATCCGCATCCAATAACAGTGATTCCCCAGAAGAACATCATCACACAGAGACTCTTCGGTCCATACTTCTTGAAAACAATCTGAAGAGGAATGCCAGCCACAAGGTATCCAAGGTTGAACACCCATACACAGATGTTGAAGCGTTGGCCGACAAGGTGCAGCTCCTTTTCCATGCCTTGGATCTTAGCATTTCCAATGTTGGCGCTTGAAATCGATTCAGTACACACATCTCGACAAGGATCGGACCCGACTTACCGGTCAATGAAGTTTACCAAGTACAGAAGCCATAGCACCGGTAAGATCCTCAGATCAAGCTTACGAATGAGACGTTTCTCAGCAGCACGATCAATATTGGGCTCCAGTGTCGAAGCCGTTGGAGACACTGGAGTGTCTTGTACAACGGCGCCCTTCACAGACGATGCCGGGTCTGCCATCGCGAGTTTGTGGGTGTTTTATCTTGTAAAGAGTCAAAGTGCGACTCAAAATTGATGAGGGGTGTCACTTGTGTGGCGGACCGGCAAGTGACGACGCTAGGTTGCAATGCAGGGCAAAGGTCGGCTGTAGAAGCAATACGGACTGCAGACCTTACTAGGAGACATATACGTTCACGCGGCACATGAGCTAGGGGCCCTAGGCATTAGGCGAGGAAGCCGTTTGAGAACGGACGGAGAAAAAGTCTAGAACTTGCATGAGCCGCTCTTGGGCGTAGAGATTTCGCGAAGACGGTCGTGAAGCTCGAATTGTCTGCCTTGCCGTGATCTGCACAGACGCTGCTGTCTCGTTGGAAGCACTCTCCACCACATCCTGATTGTGCGATCTAAACGGGCCGTTTACAATTGGCCGTAGTAGATCCGCACGTATGCATGTCGTGAAATAAACGGGGAGCTAAAGCGTATCATTGGTGTATACCATGCATTTGGACCCTGCCGTCTCGTATCCGACCAGAATTTCGGAATCCTTCCCACAGAAGCGATCCTTCGGGAACGGCAATGTTCCCCCACCCGCCACGGTCCGTATATAGCTTAAGACTCTGACAATGCAAAACGAAAAGTAAAGCCGCCCACACTGGTTGCAAAAGGCATTGTTTAAGGCAGAGTGTGATGATGACTGGGCTCGATGTACTTGTGAAGGCGATAGGATGGAGACGTAATTTATATCCCCAACCGATGCTACGCATGTTTGCGGCCCAAAACTAACAGTCAATCAACGTTGAAATATCGACATGTAAGGAGTGCATGCATGTCACTCTCCGATACAGAGAGCTACGGCACCAATTATTCCGGGTCGACCACATCTTGGCACTGGCACAGCAAGGGTACCCTTGTCGCTTCCACTACATCAATCTATGCCCACTAAATGATTTGGTACCTATCAGCTTTGCGTAAACGAGATGGTTTTTTCACCGCTCACACGTGGGCTGATTCTCGTACCACATCTACATTCACTAACACATTATCGGTCCGTCTACCTAGACGCCTAAACGCCTTTGCCGACTGGCACACTCCTGAATAGCTCTATGCGTCATCCATGACTTGATCAGTTGCGCAATCACAATCTATGCGAAGAAATTTGGTCGTCAAGAGATCCTCAGCCAACGTGTGCCTTTCGCATACCAAGGTAGCGCACACTGCTTGTTCGTTCATCAATGAGTGTTTGGCCTTGACAGTGGCTGGAATTATGCCGACGGACATGCCATTACCCGTCCTAAAAGCTCTTGCCATGCCCAGAGAGTAAGGAAGGTCGCTGCTGATACATCATATTGCCTCGAATCACGTTTCAAGCTCAGTGACCCGAGGCGGGCTACCGGAGTGTGAGGCATATGCGTATAGCTTTTTCTTCCAGGTACCTTGCATGGAGCCCGTGTGCCAGGACACATCATAACGGTCTTTAGTCGCTTGCCCTTGCCACTGATGATTGATCTGGAGGCGATCCTGATCGGAACACTGCCCCGTTGAAACCCAATCATAATACCGCCGTAAGGTACCAGGGAGATTTTGGTAAGGATTAAGAGGAGTTTGGACACACTGAGCCTTTGCACGGTCAATGCAGTACCGGTCGTATACAGTGAGCATGTCTGCAATGTCAAACACTTTCCAATCGATGTCTTTGATAGAACCGGTAGTCGGCCAGCTCTCGGTCACTTATAATCTCTGATTTACTTACTCGCCGCATCGACTTTTCAATCTATGTTCCTCAGAGTAAGCACACGAGCACACGAGCACTCTGACTCGGTACGGCAACATGATCTTCAAAGCCTATCCGGAAGAGCAAAGCCATATGCGATGGATAACGATCACCATGACGGCGATTGCAACGCTGCTCCTCTTTTGCAGGATTATGGCCACAGTAAAGAACAGAGGCTGGCTTGGTGTAGAAGATGCCTTTGTGATAGCAGCAAACGTAAGTTTGAGAAGATCAAAGCATATCACTTGCTGACCATACTCAGATCTGCCTGATTCTGCTAGCAACATGTATGTACATAGCGACCACATACGGCTTTGGAAAGCGTATCGCAGATATCAAGGAGTCTGGCGGTGACGTTAAAAAGGCATTGAAGGTAAGCTCCGATGTCATGTTCTGCTACGGAGACCCCAGATCAGTTTACTCCGTTCACGTCGTGCAGCTGGCTGACTTGAATTATCTAGTATTTCTGGATGACCTTTACGTTCTATACCCTCACAAATGGCTTCAACAAAATGGCCTTCATCGCGTTGTACTATCGCGTATTTCCAATGAAGGGCTTCAGACAGGCCTGCTTAGTGTTGGGAGTCATATCCCTCGGCTGGACTGTTTCATTCCTCTTTGTCGGCATTTTCCAGTGTAATCCGATCGACCGCGTCTACGACCGCAAAATCCCTGGGACATGCATCAGTTTTGCAGCGCACCGGTACGCAAATCCAGAGACATGGCTTGAGACATTCAGGGCATACCTAAATGTATTATCCTAGCACTAATCTTAACTATAGATGGTCCAACGCAAGCCTTAATCTTCTTACAGATCTCGCTATCTTTATTCTACCCATGCCTGTAATCATGAGGCTCAACATGTCTTTCGGCTCGAAAATCGGACTGGTCATACTTTTTTCTATGGGATTCTTCATTTGCTTGACCACGGCATTGCGCATGGCTACCTTACCACTGAGTCTTCACACCAAAGAGCCAACTTACGAATCCGCGCCTGCGAACCTATGGAGCTTTATTGAAGCAGCTACAGGTGTGATCTGTGCATGTCTCATCAGTCTTCGCAAAACTGTCGGATCTATGTGGCCCAAGAGATGGAGAAGTTCCAAAGGATCCTCGAGACACTACCAGCAGTATGGAAGCGGCGTCATGGGCTCGCATGGAATGACGTCCAGACTCGGCCATGAAACACGGACTGGGAACAACTTCCCTCTCAGTGACATGAAGAACGGAGCAAGAGGACCTGCGGATGCGTATCGTAATATCAGTCCCAGCGAGAGCCAGGAGCAGATCATCAAGGGAGGCAAGGTCGAGGCACACATCACGACAAAAAGCAGGCCAGAAAGTTCAGATGGCAGCGACGATCTGATCATGCAGGGCATAACAGTCACCACAGACGTCAAAATTGTTCGAGACTGATGCCGTTGAAGCTCGGATATCTGTAGGATAGAATCTCAGACTTCTAGTCCATCACGAGTGCGGATCATCTAGACCTTGCCTGTCGAACGATTCGCAAACAGCATCGAATTATGCGGATCTTTGCCCATGTCACCCTGGATACAGATCATGTCAGATCAAAGCTGTCTTCTCATCAGTTCGACGATCTTTACTGCAAACCTCGTAGTTCGCAGATCACGGGCGGTTCGTCGAGAAAACGGGTCGCTTTCGCATCTCGGTCGAGCAACAGATCAGCAGTTATCTCGATGCGCGAATATCCAGGGTCGGATGGTTCGATTGCTGCACGGGCGGCCCAGTGTTAGATGCGCCAAGTAAGGCGCGCCGAATGTAACGCCGCCGGTTAATGCAGTCACAATTTCCGCTAGCTGCATGTCGTTTATCAACACTCTCTCATCGACCCCTGCAGAATATCGGCTGCACACGAAAAATCAGGCGTCAAGTTTTAAAATCCATTTAGCTCAGTCGTGGTTGGGCAGAGCAATGATTTCGGCTCGCGCTGACTGGGCCCACTACCAGTCAGTGAACGGAGGATGTTCCAGAATCCAGTGTACGCCAGTGAACTTTGGTACTTCCCTTAGTTGAAAACGAATTACTCCGGCCTACTGCACTTCCACAACTCCGGTCTGCATTCTTGTGAACGGTCCTGCCACAATGTTTGCCGCTCCGCCTCTTGAAAAGCCACTGTCTCTAGCCATCATTGGTGGTGGCATTGCTGGTTTGACGCTTACAATCGCTGTTCTCAAACATGCTCCTCACATTTCCATTGCTCTGTATGAGTCCGCAGCAGCTTTCGGTGAAATCGGCGCTGGTGTTGGGTTCGAGCCAGTTATGGTGCGCACAATGGGCCGGATCGATTCACGTATCGCTACGGCTTTCGAGAAATGCAACAAAGGCAACACTGTAACAAATCCACCCCGGTGGTTTGTTTTACGTGTTGGTGACAAGAGGAAAATTATCGATGCGTCGCAAGAAGAGGTTGTTTTAAACAAGGGGCCGGGAAAACGCAAAGTGAAACTGGGGGAAGAATTATTTGTGATGCCGGCACACAGCGGTCCAAGAGGCGGTGTTCATCGAGCACATTTTCTAGACGAGTTGGTCAAACTTGTGCCAGGCGGTATCACGCAATTCAAGAAGAGGCTTTTAAACGTTACGGAGGCGGATGATGGCTCCGGCGATGCCGTGTTGCATTTCGCCGATGGAACCACCGCTCAACACACGGCAGTGCTGGGATGCGACGGCATCAAGTCGCGCACACGTGCGCTCGTTCTTGGAGAATCTGACGCAACTTCTGCAGTATTTTCAGGAAAATATGCATATCGAGGACTCATTCCAATGGAGAAGGCGGTCGAGATCATGGGAGACGATCAGCCAAGAACAGCGCAAATGTATGTTGGGTACCATGGACATGTGCTCACTTTTCCGATTGCACATGGCACGATTCTAAACGGTACTTCACTTCTTTTGATCTCCCGCGTGCGATAGACATGCTAACATACCTCAAGTTGTCGCGTTTTCGTCAAGACCGACTTGGACAGATCCAAAGTGGGTGGTGCAAACTTCTCGAGTGGAAATGCTTGAAGACTACAAGGACTGGAGTCCTGCAGTACGGAATTTGATAGCGAATGTGCAGTCGCCTGACATTTGGGCGCTCTTCAACCACCCGCCTGCGCCGACCTACTACAGCACCAAGCCACTTATCTGTCTCGTGGGCGATGCAGCGCATGCGTCGACGCCTCATCAAGGCGCTGGTGCGGGCATGTGTGTCGAAGATGTATACGTACTCAGTAGTCTGCTCTCAAGCTGCAAGTCTAGCTCAGATATTGTGAATGCAGTACATGCATATGATGCTGTAAGAAGACCTAGGAGTCAGAAGCTGGTTAAGACAAGCAGAGAAGCCGGCATGCTATGGGAATTTGAAGGAGATGGTATTGGAGATGACTTGGGAGCCTTGGAGCAAAATGCTCTGAAGCGAATGGACTGGATCTGGAATCACGATATCACGGAAGATTTAGACAGGGCTAGGGAGATTGTGCGTGGGCCAATGTGAACTCGCCTCGGTTGTGACTCATTCGTATGGCGATTGCTAGAGAAAAAGTAAATGCTCATACGCTATAAGCACTAAAAATAAGCACTCAATCCGTAATCTCCCTGAATACTCATGGTTTTGTATGAAGACAGGTCAAGAAGTCGTGTACTAGCACGCACTTAGCGGCCCGCGGCACGGCCGAATGCTCACACTAACGATTGCCTTGTCCGGCAAACAACAACCACGTTAGTTCGGCGCTGGAGCTCTACTACACGTTCATGCTGATTGTTCTGGTTTCCAGTAGCAATGTATGTTTTTGCGTTTGTTCATGTTCTCATTCTCTTTAGTCCAGCCTGTACTTAGGTCATTAGATATTTTAGCTGTTGATAACTACGGACGTGCCATCTGATACCGTGAGACCATCATCAAGCTAAAGCTGGACATATTTTGCTCCTCTAACACGACTGCCAGCCGTTGATGATACAGCGAGAATCACGGCTGAAGCCCCGATCCTTCCACTGCGAAAATTGATCAACGATCTTAGGGCCAATAAAATCCGCCGCCCGATCCATAATCTGACGCTTGTCGCCTTCGCAGCAGTCCCAGTTTCCGTAGCCAGTCTTTCCGTTGGAAAGAGTGATGTGCATATAATTGCGTCGGTTGGAGCCGGGAGAATTGGGAAAGTTGACCTGTTCGTAAATTAGTTTGAACTCGTAAAGCTATTTTGAAAGCGTGGGAGACGTACGCGAACAACATCGCCAACGTTGCAACCCTTCTTGCCAGTAACGTCGTAGCAGTTGGTCGGTCCTTGGATCTCGCGAGTGGTCACAGCCTCCAAAGAAAGCGCGACAGCGGCCATGAGCAACTTGCGGACTTCATCGTTCTCCCATTGAGCGCCAACGGACCAGATGTCGGTGTCACCTGTTCTTGTCAGCTTGTATTACATGGATTCCAGAAACAGAATGCTCACAATTCTCGACGCCGCCAGGCCAGTGAACCATGCAACGGCTAGTGAAGGTAAATGTGCCAAACTGCACGCCATTACAGTCGCGGTTATTGTTGGGCGAGCAACGGCGGTCGAGCAAGGCGTACACAGTCTTGTAAAGATCTGCCCCGGTCATAGTGCCGACCGAAACCTTGTCCTTGCCCATCCAGATTTGGATGGTGCTGTAGTCGAAGTAATCGAAAGAGGGATCGTAGCCCTCAGCTTGATGTCATGCCACGTCAGCTAATGATCGGATCAACAGAGGATCAGAAGAATTTACCTGTCATGTTCCGGTTTGGGAGAGTGATGTCGAGCAGCTCAAGGCCGTCCTCAGAGAGCGGAGCTGCACTGACAAGAGCGATCAGACCAATGGCCAGGAAGAGCAAGAAGTTGTACAGGAACATTCTGGTAAGGCCCCAAAGATGTAAGGATGGTGTCTTGGCTGGTTGGCTCTCGTTTTCCGTTCTACGAGAGCTGCCCTGTGGTGAGCGACTTCAGAGGGAGAGGAGGCTGATATAGAAGGGGGAAGAGAGCCTCGAGCTAGCGGCCAAGGTTTTAGTGAGGGAGCAGGTGGTAATTAGTGGGGCTGCCTCCGTGGTGATTGAGCGTGAGCGCCCACTGAGAATAGCGAGATTATATGTTCCGAAGACCAAGTGAAAGATACTTGTTTGATGCCAGTGTGATTTTAGACGGGTCCATCGTTTTCATTCACCTATCTTCTTCAAGCTGATGCATGCACATTGCCACCACGTCCACTTGGACTTTCGTTTAATGCTTGTCAGTTGTTGCCATACCCTTTCCCATGGTAACCATACATTGAGTGACCTTTGACTCCTCCCGAGGAGTATGAGAAGTTCTGTCCAGCGGTCAATCTAGACCTGGAGGCAATCGCTTGTGGTGTCAGTTCCATCGGCAGGAACGAGCGCGTGGCAATTAATACTACAGAACCCGGGGGAGAGACGCTACTTTAGCATTGAAGTACACTCCTTTAGAGTTTGCATGAAATTCCATCATCTTCATCACGATTTCCATCTTCTCAGTTCGTGCTGTCATGAGCTTCGTGTACAGTCCCTGCGCCGCGCGCACTGTTCTAGGGTAACTGACGTCGTATAATCGAGCAAACGGCTGCGGACCAAAAACTTTCCATCCAAAGGTTTCGAATTTCACATGAGAGCAATAAATCGCACGCGATGCTTGGATAAGTTCGTATGTACTCTCCACTCATGTATCATCCAGCACTATTGATGTAAAGGTATCATGCGGCCACCATTACGCGCAAGCGATCGACCCCAACCAATGGGCGCAGGAGTGGGCGCAGGCCGTAATGACAAGACCCTAACTACGATGTAGCTGACTGTCATGCACGCTATCAACACTCTTTATTTTCCATCTCACCGGAAAGCAGTCGATATTGAATCATTGCAAGTATCTTCTGCGGGATTTCGACATTGCAGAAGATATGGTTCCTGAGGCTGCGGGGCAGCAATCCTCAACTTCAGCCTCAGCTCAGCCTGAAGTAATACCGCGAGATGACAAAACGGCCATCTTTCGACCTACTCAACGAGAAATCCGAGTTCTCGATCTATTGCCCGGAAATACCGGCGATCAGATTGAATGCAAGGTCCGCATCATCAGTCTAGATGGCAAAGAACAGTACGAAGCCTTGTCGTATGTATGGGGTGAACGCAGCACTCCAAAAGAGATAGTGGCATCTGGCCAGAATGTGTCTGTCACTGAGAATCTCTACGCTGCTCTCGAGCGACTGCGCAATCCGCAGCAGATACGCACAATTTGGATCGACCAGTTGTGCATCAACCAGTCAGACAACCTCGAGCGATCGAACCAAGTCGCCATGATGAGGGACATCTACAGGAGGTGTTCTGTATGCGTCATCTGGCTCGGAGAACTAGGCGATGTTGATAGTCAAGCGGCTACTGCTGTGTTCGGCTTTCTCAAGGAAGTCGCAGCGATAGCGACCACCGAGTACCTTGGCCTACCAATCCTGTTCAGACAGACCCCAGAGGGAGAAGCTGCACGGAGAGCCTTTGCAGCGTTCGCCATGTACGGTAATCCATGGTGGAGCCGCATTTGGACTGTACAAGAAGCAATAATTCCGCACGACGCTGTGTTCGTCTGGGGCCATCTAACAGTGTCGCGAGCCGATATCCTAGCGACGTCGCGTCATCTACGGAGTGATCTGATGCACGCTCATTTCCCAGAAACGTTTAAAGCCAAGCGTGTCCATCACTATGAGATGTTGCGACGTATGTTGTATCCCGTACACGGCTTCATACACTCCAGCAGCCATGACGGGCCGCTCGATCTACTCATGCGATGGCGGCACCGCGACGCTACGGATCCTCCGGATAAAGTTTATGCTCTGATGGGGTTACTTCCTAGGGATGTTATTCCAAGCGCCAGATCATATGATTACGAAACACCTGCTTCACTGCTCTTCGCAAACGTCACGTTCGATTTGATCCAACTCGAGCAAGGCCTCAGGCCTTTTATTGGATCCAGCGAGATGTCACACAAGACTATGGGCCTTCCGACATGGGCTATTGACTTTGCAACCACCAACCGCCTTGGCAGGCGACAACTGAAGTGGTGGAATCACTCTCATCGCTATCGACAGTTTTCTGCATCTGGTGCGGAATTGGTGCAGGCCAGTCTCTTGGATAGAGGAATAATACTGTCACTTAAAGGGTCATTTGTTGATGAGATAGAAGTATGCAGCGATGTCTATGAAGTACCTGACAACGTGCCGTTCGCTTCGCACAAACTTTACAACACAGTGATGGATTGGACCAAGCTCCTGGACGATTGGCGTAATTCGCACGGAAACCCAACAGAGTACACGTCTGGTGGGTCATGGAAATCAGCGCTTTACAAGACGGTGCTGGGTGACCTCATCATGGCAGAATATCCCATCGAACGCGCGAAACCCCTGCATGAAAAGTATCTGGAAAACTTGTGGACGTCACTTCTTCTCGACAAGACTCATAACTCGCTCTATGAGTCGTTATGCGGTATAGTCCCGAATCAAGCTTTTTTCATCACTAAGAAAGGATACATTGGCGTTGGACCGCCAGATGCACGCCCTGGGAACGAAGTCTGGGTATTGTACGGCGGCCAAGTACCATTCGTCCTGCGCAAAATCAACCGAAAGTATGACATGGAAAACGTCCATCGGAGAGAATTTGTAGGTGACGCCTACACTCACGGAATCATGGATGGAGAAGCAATCCAAGCACACCACGAGACTGAAACCATATGGCTTTCATAAGGTGGCTCAATAGCGTAATATCGCACACGAAGAAGCACTCCACTCAAACCCCGAGACCCAGAACATACGTCTTTCACAGGTCGAATCTCAAGACTATTACTTCTACCTCCTGCTCTTCACCCCAACCACCCCCCTTCAACCCCCTTCAACAGCTCCCCTAACCACCCCGCATCCTCCTCGCACAACTCCGCATCAAACCCATGATCCCCTTCCGGACTTACAACCTCCACCCTTACATGCGGAAACCTTCCCCTCACCCTCTCCACAAACTTTTCCGTCCACTCTACCGACACAACGCTATCATCCCTTCCATGTATAATCCACATCGGCACCCAAAACCTCGCGTCTTCCACCGCCGTATCAGGCATGATATGTTTCCCCTCCCCGAAGAATTCCCCCCAGCGGCCGTAGGCGCGCAGCATCGGTGCAAGCCATGCACGCGAGGGGGGCGTGGCGCTGCTCGTTATCGAGCCAGGGGGTATGGACGCGATGAAGGCGTCGAGCGTGGATTTGGGCGGGATGGATTGGCCCATTAGGATGTCGTCTGGCGACGTAGGGAACGCGCTTGTCACGGGGTATTGTAAGAAGCATGCAGTGAATGTACCTTGGGGTTGCGTGAGGATGGATTGCAGCGCGCACCAGCCGCCTGCGCTGTCGCCGTGGACGAGGACGTGGGCGAAGTCTAGCTCAACGGAGGGGTTTTTGGTGAAGAGATAGGAGGGTAGATTTTCTCTGAACCAGGTGTGGAAGTCGGCGATGTCTGTGAGGATGTCGGAGCCACTGTGTTCTGGAGTAAGGCGGTAGTTGGGTAGGACGGCGATTGCGTTGTTGCGGTGGAGGAAGGGGACGAAGTATGCGGCGAACCAGTTGGGATATAAGGCTGTTCCGGCGGTCTGGATGGCTTTATTAGCAATGGAGATGGTGTTGAGGATGAAAAGTGTGTACCAGACCACCGCCATGCCACTTGATCATTACTGGACATTTGCCCGGCTTGATGTCTTTGGGTACCAGAACATTTGCTTCAATTTCATGCTCGCCGACCTTCTTATATGACGTCTTGTATACATCGAAGCTATCGAAGCGAGTAGCGGGAGTAGTGCTGAGAGACATGTTTGTCTTTTAGATATCGCGATGTCGAATTGGTAAGAACAGATGGACAGGTCAGGGAGGTTCGTGAAGGTCTTCGACTCTTCATATACCTCTTCCAACCCTCCTCACTATGAATACAACGCCCTTCTCGCACGCAATTTTCTTACTCATGCTACAACTCAAGCGTCAAGCATCGTGCATGTCCTAATCCGGAAGAGGAGATTCAAGTCTGTGCTTCGTATGTGCCTGCCAAGTCTAGTAAATTCAGTCCGTGCGCAAGATGACTAGCTTAAGTTGAAGTTTGTCAGCAGTCAGATGAAAGGGCGGCATACCAACTACTGGGAAGGGAACGAACGTCCGCGGTCTATCAGGAATAATGATGTATCAGTTTTTTCTACACAATGCCGCTACCCAAGAACACCTTGCTAATCAAAGCAAGCCAGGTCCAAACACTAGACGTACATACACACACAAACATCCCCACATCACAAGACGCTCATTCCGAATCCTCTTCCTCCCGTGCATCGTGGTAATTGTCCGAGTGACTGGTAGTACCCTCTATGATGAACCCACGGAAATGGATTTCCTGTCTACACGGGTGTCAGCAATGGGGTCGCGAGAGCTCAAAGTGATACAGGTCTCAAGACCTCGCTTCTTCGAGTTCAAGCTCCAGTTGCCGGATGCGCTCGTCCTTCTCGCGATCTGAGGGCTCGTGTGAACCGAGCTTGCCCTTCAAGTGAGAGACTTCGCGAACAAGGAGTGCGATCTGGTCGGACTGGTCGGACATGACGCGGTTCTGGTGCTCCAGCTGAGATTTGATGTCGGAGAGGGCGTCACGAAGTGCCGATGCAGGACCGCCGGAGCTGGCTGCGGGAGCGGAGGTCGATGCTGAGGGGGTGTGCTCAGAAGACTTCAAAGTTGCGCCAGGCTCTGATGGGGCCATCGTAGGTGCAGGGGTCGGCTTTGCGGGAGTCGGCTCAGGGTCCCTGGTGATCGCTGGACCCCTAGTCTTCTCTTCTTGGCGAGAAGCGGTAGCTGTGTGGCGTGAAACAGGCTTGGTCACCTCCTCGAAGCTCGACTCGCTCGCCTTGTCGGATACATCGTCGTCAGCAAACTTGGAAGCGCCTGCAGCAAGCGATTGCTTGTTGTCATTCATCGTTGGCGGCGGTCCGCGTGAAGCGACTGGTGCGGGTGCTGACGACTGCGCTGGCTTCTCAATGGTGGCAGCCGGAGTGGGCTTGGATGCTGCGGCTGCAGGTTGCGAAGGCTTGGGGATGGACTCCGCTGGCACTTCCTTCGGCGCTTCACCATCATAAACACTCTCGAGCGAAATCTTTGGAGGAACTGCAGTCTTTCCACCGAACCACTCGTCTGCCGTTGTGCCAGGCCTAAGGCCTGTTGTGGGCGGGTAAATGTCGCTCTGGAACATCTCTGATCGGCGGGGCACGATGAAGGACACGGGCTCGATGTAGGTGTCGTTAACTGTCTTGAATGCGCGAAGCACTTCATTGTCATGCAGGTTGATACCGCGCTTGGGCATGAAGGCGACTCCACGCTGGGGGTTAGGCGAAGTGTATTGGGTAAGGTACTCGAACTTGTCGTTCTCGTATTCGTAGTATCGGATGTTGCCGTCGCTACGCAAGTCAGTATGGTCTTCTTCATGATAGATCTGAATCACCTACCCCTTGCCTGCGAGGTACAGACACTGTGTGCCGTCATCCCAGAATGGCATGCACACACCAGAGATGGAGTCGAGGATCTCAAAGCCACCAATGGGCTCACTGGGGTTGCGGGGATCCCACAGACCCAGCTGGCGGTCGCTCATGCGGGAGAATCCCGTGGTCGCGATGCGGTCATGCTCGCCCATCCAAACAGCGCGGCTGTTCTTGGCTCCAGGATGCCCGGGCACTTCCTGCGCAGGCTTCTCCTGGCGTACATCCCAAACGCGCAGCTTCTTGTCTCGGGAAGTTGTAACCAGGTATGCTCCGTCGGCGCTCCACGACAAGGACTGGACGATGTCTTTGTGCGTAAGGGTAAGCCTCGCTTTGCCAGCTTCGACATCCCAGAGCTTCACGGTGCAATCACCAGACGAGGAGGCGAGTACGTTCTCGGCCGCGGGGTTGAAGAGGACGTGTCCGACTTTCCTGGTAGGGTATTAGGAGAAGTTCAGGAGGGATCGGAGCCCAAAGGTACGAACCTCATATGGCCGCTAAGCTTCACCTGCGGAGAAACATCTGCGGGCTCTTCGGCGTCTGTGTGAAGCGTGAAGTTCTCCGGCACCTTCCAGATGAAGACCTATCCATTGTCAGCGCGTGCGTTTCGACTTTGGCTTTGGGCTTCAGTGACGTACTTTGCCATCGTCAGAGGCAGATGCAATCAGCGAGTCGTTGAAGGGACTCCTATGAGCTAATCAGCACTGTTCGTAGTCTCCCGTATCGAGTGGGTGCGCGTACCAGTCAGTGTCGAGGACGGCAGCCGTGTGCCCGCGGAAGAGGGGGATCTGGTCGGGCGCGCGGCCCTTCTCGTTGATGGGGATAACGGCGAAAGCGCCACCTCCGCTGGCTTCCCAGTTGACTGCGATGTATTCGGGGTTGGCCTAGGGGGTGTGAGTGCGTCATTCTTGAGGTCGCGTGCACGTTGGGCTGACCTTGATCAGGTTGGTGTCCCAGGCGTTTTTGGAGATGCGCAGGTTGTCATAGCACTGCTCCTATGGGGTCGTTAGTGTCAGTATATAACATGTTATTCAACGCGATCGTACCTTCTTTGCGCCTTGTCCAAAGACATGACCTACATGGAATTGTTAGGATAGTAAGCTTAGCTGAAGCGCGCATCACAACTCACGATACTTGGAAGCTCTCACGAAACGGCCAGCCATGGTGAAAGTATCAAAGCAATGATCTTGAGAGGGAGGATTAAGAGTTTGTGTAGTGCTCCTCGATGTACAAGGAGGCGTAAGGGGAGATGGCGGCTGTGTAATGGTTTCGAAGTCGCAAGAGTGTTTCAATGGAAGCTGCGACCGACCGCGCTAGTCGGTGGGGCGGGACCGGGGTCCTTGTCCCTCGCTATTTCGAGGTGTCCATAACAACCGCTTCCTTGCATCACTCCACACTCCACACTCCACGTACACGACGTCACTCACACAAAAACATGACAACGATGGGCGTTGACAACAATATACAACACATTCTACAAGCCGGAACAACTTTCCACGTACTCACTCGTGTGAGCCTTAAATTTCAAAAGAGCTTGGATAATTCTTGCACAGTGTATGCGCAGAGGAACGTGTATTGAGGCCCAAACTGGGACAGGAAGAGCGCGCTCCTCGCATATACACCACAAAACGTCTCTACATCACGGTGCACTGCGGAGTAATACTCCCAAGATCCTGCAGCGCTACACGACCCGCCCGTGCCTCACCCATGCCCAACTCTTCACACTGACCTCGAATCCATACCGCCCAGTCACCCTCACCAGCTTCAATGACTACGTTACTATCAGGATACACAACCCACTGAATGCCAGTCATCGCCTTATCAACGCCCATGTTGAACAGCCGCGTTTGCTTGCCGCTCCAGCCATCAAAGACGTCACCCAGCGCCAGGCGAATGTGGTTTTTGAACGCCGCTTCGGCCATGTATGTATACCGCCCGATGTACTTACGTCGCCGTATTTTCCCTTTGCGATCGTCGTTGGGAAATTTCTCGGCGCATCCGTCTGTTAGGCGCAGATGCTTGATGTACGCGTCGAGTGCGGGCACGATGTCGCGTACGTGGGAAAGAGCTTTGGGGTGTGGGTTTCTGTAGTCGAAAGCGTTGTCTAGGTGTTGCGTGAGTATGGGTTTGATGTGGTAGAGCATTACGCCAATCGCATAGCCGACGTTCCAGGGCTCATCGGCCTTGGTGCGCAGTAGCGCTATGGTGGTCGGGATTTCGAAGTCACGGCCGTTCTCTTTCGGGGCGGGATATGCGTATCGCTCGGTCGCGACAAGCCTAGCATGTTTTGGAGGTGAGTTGCGGACACCAGGCCAATCTGTTTGTAGTGGGCGTTTGTTGTTCATGTTTGCAGGTCGATGAGGCAGTTTTATCAAGCTGATCGACCCTGGTAAGTGGGGGAGCTTATATTCAGGCCTAGTTGTCCCATTGTGGGCTTCACACTTTGGGCCTCACGCACAGCAATCTTTGACTTTCACATTATAGCGGATCTTTGTTTATTTAAGTCGTCGCTTTGTCTCATTGACATTGTGATGCTTTGTCTGGAAAACCAAGTCTAAACCATTAGGACCACCTACGTGCAACATGATCTCAATGGACGCGGTCCTGCGGACCTTGGCTGTATCTCTTATTTGCGGTTGCCGACGTTCCCGAGATTGCCCAAGAATACAACAAGCACCGCTGCATATGCGGCTGAAGCTGCGAACAGTTCTTGTCTTTTTGCCCCCGTCAGCAAGCCCATCGTCACTGAAAACAGGAAAATGAAAGCCACCAAGATGCCCATCGCCTCAATAGTGGCGGTGGATTTTCCGGCGGACGTAACCTGGTATAATGTTATGATCGGAATTATGAGCAATACCAGAACTATCAGAGTCATAACCATGGTTGCCGTTTTTGTGATGGTGGATGGCAAATAATGGTATACACCCAAATTTCGATCTCCGGGCCGCGATTGTTTTCCCGAGAAGAGCCCCTAATGAGTCAGCAGAGCGTGCGAGCCTTGTGTTGGGGGTTCCATGTACTCTCCCGATCCTTGTGGGTAAGCGTTCGATGCCTTCCTCGATCCATTCGTCGAAGTGGCCCCATTCGGTGTTCGGTCGCAGTGTCACTAGATCACGCTTTCTCTTAATGAACTCTTCCTCAGGCTGGTAACTGAACGGCTTCATGTTACAGAACCATGTTCTCATACTAATATAGTCTCGATCCGAGGGCTTCTCGAGGGCATTGATTTCTCGTGTTTTCAGAAGAAAGTCATCATACTTGGCCAATTTATCATGTATCGTTTCGAGAAGGATGGCGCGGTCGCTCATCAGCTTGCCGGCTTTCCGGGCTCTCGTCTCATCCTTCATACGCGACGATAGCACTCTTTTATTGGTACCATTGTCATCTAGTTCATCCATGTCGCGCAAATCAGTTTCAAGAACGCGCAGCTCATCCTGGAGCTGTAAGAGAATCCGTGCGTGCAAGTAGCCAAATCCCCGATATACAGAGAAGCTAAGGTCAGACTGGAATGCTGCTTGCTGCGGGTAGCCAGTGGGATAGTCTGATACTACGCAGACGATGTCAGCCAACAACGGGAACGTATTAGTGTCGGCGTAGATACGAACACTGTTCAACGATACAATCTTGAATCTCGGTTTTCATCATCTTCTCTTCCTGCGCTTTGGCGAGTTTTTGCTCTTTTCGTTGCGCCCGCTTGGAGCTTCTCTTGGTGGCTGAGCAGGTCAGCGTGCAATCCCGCTTTTCTTCTACTGCGCTTATTACGTGGCTTGGTACTCTCAATATCCGGTGGATTTTGCCCACGACCGGTGCCGAAGATTCGCAAAACGGCACTCAAAGGCGTTCCCGTATGGTGTGTTGATGCTGACATCGCGATAAGGGACTTTTAGAATCAGATTACCAGCACGAACGTTGACAATAGCCAAAGAGGGGCATGGAAAGGTGAGGCAAGGTCAGAGTTCTCTTCGCTCTTGTTTCTATGTACTATACTCCAGCTTGGCTCTTCCCGCGAAAGGCCAAGCTTCCGGTGAGGGCTCAGCTCTGAAAGGCTTTGTTTATCCACCAGTGACAGCATTTCACGCAAAGCGCGCGAAGTTCAAGTGTAAGGTACTCTTAGATATCAAACTTAAGCGAGGACTCTGGATACCAGGTCCCGTCTTCGAAAGCATCTTCATCTTCCGTGACACCTAATTGGTATTCCCAATACCCATCTGGTGTGTGCCGCAGAGCCTTGATAACGAAGTGCTCGAAATATGTCTTTCGCAAGCCATCGACGCTGGCCGTCACTTTCATCTCCACCACATCCCCTACTTCAAATGCCGACGATCTCTGGGGTAATAATCAGTACACAAGCGTAACGAGATACATCAAAGCGATCTACGTACAGTTCTTCGGCCAGAATTAGAGCTGACTCTACATTCTGCCATATTTGCTTGGTAGCCCGCACTTCGATTTGGTTGCGTGTCTGCAGAAAGGCTGTAAAAATTGGGAAATGAGACAGGTGCTCTTTAGAATTGTTGTCTCTGAGGCTCTCATTTGATAAAAACTGACAAGAGTTCCCAAAAGAACAAGGTCTGCATACACCGGTCAGTCTTATCGCTGCGGAGGCGCTTCCAGAGTGGTGGACTGCATACGACAACGTACAGGGTGCAGGGCCTGCAGACCTGCAGACCCCCGCTTTTGAGCAAATCGGACGATTTAGATTGCGGAACTCGGGAATAAACAGAAAGCCTGCAGCAAACAGCCTCCAAATGAGAAGTGTTTGATGAGTAAGCCCCGTTGCCTGACTGCCTGGCTCGGGAGAAGCATCAAGCGACCACGTAGCTGTGTTGACACTGGAAAAACAATCAAAATGCTCAAATGAAACATGGATCTAGCGCACGCTCAGCTTGAGCTTGCAAAAACAGGTAGGATAAAAGTATCGAGATGCCTCCCACTCCGCGTTCAATAAATCATCATCCGATCCAATGAGGACAGAAACAAATTCTCGGTGTCAGTATGAACAATACGATCGAACGAGACGCTACTTATGCTACCATTTGACTACCTTGGTATGTTCATGTTGTTGTGTTGGTAATTGCACGACAGAAAGACCTTGACCAGCATATCATGCCACGTCGGTGAGAGTCGTGCAAGATCACCGAATCTCAATACGAATGTGGAAGAGAATAAATAATGATCAGGTCTCATATCGACGGGGTGCCTATGCGAAGACAATCGTCCTGATCCTAATCATACACTATATGAAAGTATCGAACAGCCACCTAGTGTCGGAAGAAGAGGTTCGTGGGATCGAGTCAGCGCACGAAGTCTATGAGGAACCCTGGGCTCATGGAAATATCTAGTTGCGTCGACTCAAGATGATTTCCACCCAGGCTTTGGGTTACCAGTGCATTGTTTCACCGCTTAACACGACAAAATCAGCTCAGTTGCAGTTGAACAAGTGCATAATGCACCGCATATGCGAACATGATGGGCCAAAGAATTTGCTCCTCGTTTACTACCGTGGACATGCCATGACGCTTGGATTTGGACAACCAGAGCGCTTGTTTCTTCCAGCGTCAGTCAATGCTTACCTGAAGTTAAGGCATGCACTGATGCCGATATAGGACCAGTAATGCAAACATGGAGTAGGTAGCGGGATTTAGGTCCACTTTGGGACCTGGCTGAATACCCGCTGTTACATGGCGCAGAAAGCGATGTCCTGGCCATCCTGGATTGTTGCTTTGCTAGCTCAACAGCGAGTAAAGTTCGAGCTCTACGATTGCAAACACGAAAGGACCAGTTACTAGCAGCTTCTGGCGATCACCTAATCACACCTCTAGCGGGTCAGAATTCGTTCACGTCAGCTTTGTGTACAGCACTGGAGGACGTGTTTGGCAGATCGGAGCAGATACCGTTCACGACTGCTATGCTTCGCGATCGAATCAATTCCGAGCAGGACCTCTCCCCCAAAGCACACTTATGGGATCGTGTTGAGCGGCAAGGGCCAGGTCTGCTGTTATCACCGCAGCATCCTCAACTCAGCATAGCTGGCGTTGGATAGAATAGGTATTTCTCAATTTCGAGTCGTGATCAAAACATCTTAAGGCGTTAAATGCGCCGGACGCTACCCTAGTGGAAAGACATGTTCAAGTTTCCCAGTGCGGATGACGCCCGTCCTACTAGCGTCACCACCCCCGTCATCCATTGCCTCGGCATACACCAGATCCATAACCATGGCACAGCGATGCGGAGAAGGATAACCCCTCGCGTCACTTTCCCCTACTTGACCCGACTTTCCTGGCCCCCTTGAACGACGCGTACCATACATCATGTCTGCAACCGACGACCTTAAACACGCTGCTGGCGACGTCAACCACGCTGCCGGAAAGGTCGTGCACGATGCCGAGGCCGCCGGCTACGAGCTGAAGGAGAAGGCCGAGAGTGCTGCCGAAGATGCGAAAGACAAGGCGGTCGAGGTGAAGGAAGATGTTAAGGAGAATGCGCAATGGGCAGCAGAGAAGACTGAAGAGAATGCAAAGGCGGCTGTGGAGAGTGCGCAGCAAAAAGCGAAGGCTGCGGCGGACAAGATGGCAGATGCTGCGGCGCGAGCGGATCCTCGCGATCTGAAGCCCAGGAACATTCTTGACGGATTGAAGAACGTGGACAGGACGATTCTGCGATTGAACAAGTGCGTCTCGTTCCCATCTGATCTGCGTGATTGCGCGACTGCGACTGACCGCGTCATTTAGACTCCTCGCATCCCCAGGCGGTCTCTCGGCCTTCCTCTCCACCTTCAACTACTCTCTCTACATCCTCGCCTACCTGCAGTCCAAATCCCTGACCCTCTCCGCCCTCGCCACCCGCATCCTCGCGCTCGTCCGCCCCGCCTGCGACGACACCAAGATCCCCGCCACCACGCTGATCAACAACGCGGGCATCCCGCCCGTCGCCGCCCTCGCCGTCCTCATCTCCAAAGCCCGCACAACCCTGCGCCTCTTCGGCCTCTTCCCGCTCTACGCATGGCTGCGCACGCTGCTCGCCGGCCCGAAACCCGGCGCAGACGTGGTCCTGCACCGCATCGCGCTCCTCCAAGCGACTAGCTACGCGACCTACCAGGCGCTCGAGAACATCTGCCTGCTCGCCGACTCGGGTGTGATTTCGCCCTCGTTCATCGCGCGCATCAATCAAGCGAATCCCAAGACCGCCCGCTTGTATCTGTGGGCATATCGCGCGTGGCTGGGCGGCGTGAGCTGCGACTTCTTGCGCCTGGGGCGTGAGTGGCAATTAGAGGCGAAGCGCCGCGCGACCAGGCGGCAGATGGTGGCGGATGGGCGCGCGATTGCAGAGTATCAGGACGAGGAAGACAAGAAGTTTGATGGCAGGTGGTGGACGGATGCGATGATTGCCAGCGCGTGGTTGCCCATGGCGCTTCATTTTTTCGAGCGCCACGGGTGGATTGCCAGGATGGAATTTTTGGGGTGGGATGGGGGTGTGTGGACTGGTTGCAGGCGGGACGAGGGCGAAGGCCCTTGTGGCGCAGTACTGCATAGAGTGAGCATGGGAGGATGATACCTTGGTCAAGACTGTATATTGCGGGCTGGTGGTGATTTGATATTTCGCGGGTGGTCGTCTCTATATCCTGCGATTTCGATTGATGCTTCTCTAAAGCATTGGATTTTAATGCACGTTGATATACTTTGTAAACACTGCTTGCTCCACCGTGCCGTATTCTGCGCATGTCGGGTTGTAGTCTGATCTAGCTCCAGTCTTATCCCTGCAGGTGTGTAAGTGTACCCGACTATTCCAAAGTGGGGAAGCCGTGATAGCAGACCTCCAAACACCAAATGTCATCCTCTCCTCGAACACAGACCCTCATTGCGAATTGCCTCTGGGATTGGTTATCCCTCGTCATACTCCACGAAGCTGCACACATTCCTCGCAACTGTGCGCATTCAGAGTAACCTAATCGAAAAGCCCAGAGCAGCTCTGTAGGACGTCTTGCAGTGTCACCAAATCTACCACATAACATCAACGATCAAAGACTACCATGAGTCGCTTCAACATTGTCGAAGCCAGCATCGCCGACCACAAACGAGCTCTCGACGCTGGCGAGGTCTCGAGCGTGGATCTGGTCATCTGCTACCTGCTGCGCATCGCAAAGCACGACATATGCGGCGGCCTCAATGCATTCACCGTCTTCAACGACAACGTCTTCGAAGAAGCAGAAGCATCAGATGCACGAAGGGATCAAGGCCTTCCACCACGACCACTCGAAGGCATCCCATATGCCATCAAAGACAGCTACAAGGTCGCCGGCATGAGCGTGACAGACGGCTCACCAGCACTCGCGGGCCTCATGTCAAGCGAAGACTCCGCCATCGCAGCCAAGCTGAGAGCCGCGGGTGCCATCCTCATCGGGAAGACCAACATGCCCCCCATGGCCGCTGGCGGCATGCAGAGAGGCAAGTACGGCCGCGCGGAGTCCCCGTACAATCCAAAGTATCTCACTGCAGCCTTCTCATCTGGGTCTTCCAACGGCGCGGCGACGTCTCTGGCGATGAGCATGGTCGCGTTTAGCATGGGCAGCGAGACGGTGAGTAGCGGACGTAGCCCGGCGTCGAATAATGCTCTCGTGTGCTACACGCCATCGAAGGGACTACTGAGCTGTCGGGGTCTGTGGCCGTTGTATGTCACGTGTGATGTACCGGTTCCGTATGCACGGTCGATGGATGATATGCTTACAGTTTTGGATGTCATTGCAACGGAGGATGAAGATACGACAGGTGATTTTATTCGCGAGCAGAAATATGTTGAGATTCCGAAACCAACTGTTATGGACTATCAGGCTCTCCGAAATTCGCAGAAGCTGAAGGGCAAGAGAATTGGTGTGCCTAAGATGTATGTTGGAGAGCAGGATGAGGATCCGCATGCCAAACATCCCTACGTCTCGCCCGCAGTGATTGCTCTCTGGCAAGAAACTGAGCGACAACTTAAAGAGCTGGGTGTAGAGATAGTTCATACGGATTTTCCGCTTGTGACAAGATACGAGAACGACTCAGTGTCTGGCGAAGCGAACAACGTCGAAGGCTGTCCTGCTAATTGGAACCAACTGGAGCGTGGCGTCTTGATTGCAAAAGCCTGGAACGCATTTCTTGTCGAAAACAATGATCCCAACATCAAGTGTCTGGCTGATATTAAAGATCCAGCTATGCTATTTCCAAAACCGCCAGACTACCTACCTGATACCTTTCTCGAAGTCAGGAATTGGATCGACTACGCCGGCCTACCCGCAATCCTGGACAGTGTCAAGGAGAGATCAATCCACGACATCGAGGGCATGTCTCAAGCCCTTCAAGCCCTCGAAGCCCAACGCAAGCGCGACCTCGAAGACTGGATGGACGAGCACACTCTCGACGTCATCGCATTCCCAGCCCAAGGCGACGTAGGCCTCGCAGACCTCGAATCCAACTACTCCAGCACCAAGCACAGTCTAACTAACGGCGTCAAATACTCCAATGGCACACCGCTCAATCCGCCACCTAGGCGTGCCAACAGTCAGCGTACCAATGGGCCTCATGCGCGACAAGGACATGCCCGTCAACATCACTTTCGCCGGAAAAGCATACCGCGATCAGGAATTGTTGGGGTATGCGTGGGCATTTGAACAGGCAACAATGAAGCGCATCCCCCCACCCATCAAGCCTCTCGACACAGACACACCGCCCCCAATCCTCAGGGAGGGTGATTCGCGCGACGACCCATCCGCGCCCGTCGACCTAAAAATTACGGCCGAAGCTTCCCCAACGGAGAATCAAGGTACGTGGGCCATGGCTGTCTGGGGCTCGGTGAGCTGGCGCGGCGTCGACGTGGAATTATTCTGCGACGGGGAAAGCATCAATGGGAAGTGGTGCGAGGGCCAGCACTGGCGCTTCGATTTCGAATACACGCCGCAGCGCCCCGAGGTGTTGGGCTGGGATCTCAAGCCCCTGGCGCCACGGAAGGCTATGGTGGTCGTGGTGGTGAGGAGTGAGCCGGAAGGGAAGGTTAGAGGGGCAAAGGTGGTTTGGGTGGATTACTCAGGAAAATGTAGGGGGTAGCATGCTCCGATATTCACAATCCCCATATCAACTATAACATCTAACTCATCCCCTCCCATCTCCTTCGCACATGACATCCTCATATAGCTATTACTAATACGTCATCCCCCCTCGGCAGCGGCACTCACCCATCCATCCAACTTTTTCGCCCACCATTATGCCTTCACATTACACTTATTCTGCGCCGCGATATTCTGCTTCTTCAACGTCGGCGCGGACACGTAGTTATTCGCATTCATCGCTTTCTGCAGGCTGTCGTCTTTCCACCCGAAGACGTAGTCGGCATGCGTGCCCCAGCCGGAGGCGTCGCCCGAGGACCATGCAAAGGGCTGGTGCGAACGAAGTGAGCACACGTCCATCATAACATACTACAGGACAAGAAGACAGCGGAGGGAATGATAGGAAAAGGAGGAAGGGAAGATGAACGTACCTGACCCCCATCCGCCGGCCACTCAGCTTTGTTGTTGAATGCGCGCGTATCCCACACCGTCTCGAGCAGGATCTGCGGCAGCCGCACGGGATGTGTAGCCGGACACGGCCCACCGCTCTCAAACGTCCCGCTCGCAGGATACGCGACGTGTTCGCGGTGATCCGGGCTATCGAGATTCACGCCATCCCAGCACGTTGGGAAGCGGTGGTTGATCATGATGCCCATCTTACACGGCCTGCTATGCGTCAGCCAAACCGACTCCCTCCCTCCCTCCCCACGGAGAAAAAAAAAAGTAATTCCGAGGACACAGTAGCTTACTCCTTGGGAAACTCTAGCGTCTCGGGCTCCCGTGTGCCCTCGTCTTTCATGCAGATGTATGTTAGTTGGCGGAAGTCGCGCGCGCCTTCGCGGTCTTTGTTCGCCACGCTGCCGACGAGCATGCGGAAGCCGGGGCTTGAACGCCGTCACTGGGGAAGTTTGCGGGGTGCTGAAGAGCGCGTCGGTCATATAGTACACCATCTGGGCGGCGTTAGCAAGGGGAAAGGAGATTGGGATGTGGACTCACCATTCCGCCATTCGTCTTTTCAATACCTTGTTGCGCGCGTTGCGGAACGCGCTTGTATGTGCCGTTGCGCGCTTTGAAGTAGAGCGTTGCGGTCCAGTAATTGCCTTTGAGGAAAATGTGTTAGCTATGCTTCATCGCTATAATGCTGATGACGCACTGAAGTCTTCGGCCATCTCGCATGTGGTGCATGTGGAGAGTTTGGCGAGGTCGTGGCCTTTGGCTGGGTCCATGGTTACGTTGAAGGAGTTCTTGGCTGTGTTAGATGTTTTGATGTGGACAATGGAGCGATGGATCACGTACGCCGCCGATGATTTGGTGCAGATGGGGCGATGGATTCGCGCCGGGGTTAACCAGCGGATCGAGACGTTGGACAGTGAGTTGTGCGCAGCCGAAGCGCAAGAGACCGGCATTAGTGGAAGACAGGAGCCCGAAGGCGGCGATGAAGACATTGGACTTCATTCTGTAAGTACGAACATATGTCTGGAGAGATTTGGGCCTGAGAGCTTGGGCATACTGCTCACTGTTATCATCATGGTGTTTCCTTGGAAATGGCACAACTGCCGTAAAGGTTGCACTTGGCATCGATTTATCCCGACAGACAAGACGATAGCATTCGGTTGTCCTTGATGGCTCTATGGGCGTTTGGAAGAGCCGAAAACGTGGTTAATCTAGCTGTATATGAGGCATGCATGTGGGGTCGCACGGCCAAGAAGCATTAAGCACCCGACCAGATGGCTCATTGGGGTCGCTAATAAATCTCCTTGGACTAGCGACTGAAGTACCCTTGGTCAATTCAGGTCATATCTAACCCACGGGTGCTGTCAAAGAAGGAAGCTCAAATGACATATCACGGTCCAGTCATTGGCCTGTACAGGAGGGTTGTCACCAGTACCAAGCAGGCTTTGATTGATTGTGACGGAGATCTTATTTGCTGATAACTGTAAGTGACGGTGGTATGAGTCCGAATGCGTAGCTGGTGATGATGCTTAAAGTTGTTCGACGTATGGTGATACCAAACCAGCATCCCAAACCTGCAACCAACATCTCGTCGACCAACTTTCGTTCACCAAAGCAAGAAGTCTACTGTTTACATCTCCCTGTTTCAAGCAATTTGAGATGCATATCTCTCTCTCTTTAAGTGCCTTAATCCTCGGGATCGCTTACAGCACAAACGTACCCCGAGTGCACGATGGAGGCCGCGAGATCGGACGACTGCGCTGCAGTCATCAACGCAAATGCCTGCTACAACAAGTTCTAATATGGAACGCTCAGACTTTGACTTGTATTGATGGAACTGATAATGCTGTCAAAGCCAAGAAGGTATGCTCAAATGTCAATTGGTCGCTGTGTGCAATACTTAGTGGCGTGTCAGGTCTGCAAGTGTTGTACTTGTGTAGGAAAAGTCATGTGCGATTGGGCAACGAAGCAGAAGATGTGCTGATGGGTTCTGAGCAATCTGTTGGTGCTAAGTGATTGGATGAGGCAAGCATGCAGAAGGGGAAAGGCTGTGGTTGTATTTTTCCTATTCTCTGGCTATAATAGGGGACAATACATCGGTTTGTTACGGTTTCGATATTTGAACATACTATGATATAGCAATCATCATCCTCGTGCAGCGCTGGTTGCGGTTCAAAAAAATTGCCATGGTTTCTAAGACCCAGCGAAAGTGATTGACGGTTTAGAAGGAGGCCCAAGAAGGCAAAGTATGATCGCCCACAAACAGATGTTTAGATATTTTCAAGGTCTTGTTGATTATATGTGCACAGTAAGGGGAGTGAGGAGGGCTCCTACATTTGCAGGTTGATGCCAAAAATAGAACACCTCCTAGAAGCAAAGTCCGACTATGATGGAATTTACTACTGTAAACAATGAATATGGATTCATCATTGGATTGCTTCAAAGAGAGCAAGAAAAGGGTTTTATGTCAAGAAAAAGGAAGTTAACAGTGATAATGCTCTCAACTCCGTTGCTATGTAGACCCCTGTTCTGCTCTTTGTACAACAAACTATCGCACTTCAGCGTTCTGAGATCTTGTCTTCCAAGCTTATTCCATTCTTCTGGGAATCGTTAGCTTCAAGTCCCAAATTCGAGAGATTTAGCATAGAGTACTTTAACTATGCTTTTCTCAGTGATGATGGCCAGAGAATACAGCTCTTCGACTCAGCTCACTGCTTACTGGTTAGCACAACAGGATAGTTCCACTGCTAATTTGTTGGCGATTATCTGAGTAGCAAGTTATTAGAAAGTCTGAATGGTCGTATTCCCTAGCGCTCTTGTCTCTGATTGGAATATTCAACACCACTCGCTAGAGTAATGACACGCAAAAGCTGATTGAGATGACCTTTCATAGCTACCAGTGGTCCATTTTGGAAAGCCTGTTTTACAATATCCAACGCCGTGAGACGCTCGGGCCAGGACTTTTTCCCCGAGGACATGACTACATGAGTGTGAGACAGTGATCCCTTTGATTTCACCTGCTGGCCGCCCGAAAACATCGCCACCAGGAAATCTAAACACGGAGTTTTGATAACAACGGAGCAATTCAACGATGTAATTCTGTATGGTATCAGTAGAAGCAGGTGAGTGAAAGCTGTCAGGCAACCGTGCACCTGTCAGGACGATCGACGTCATTGCTACAGCTACGGGCTAAATCATCCTCTTTCACTACCTGGCGCCCAAAATACAAACGACCGCAGCTGCCTGATACGCCAGCCCAGGGCCATTAAAGGCTTGCGTACCCTTCTACAACAACAATCTACTACACCAGGTCTTCAACTTAGCAAAGACTCGACTCCAAGAGCTAACACCGATTCCGCAAGAATGCTATCCTTCCACTTCTTTCTTGGCATTCTCCTTGGCTTGGCTACGTTGCTCCATGCCGCTCCCATCACCGAGAACGATTTTGAGCCGATGAACGTTACCTTGCCTCATGGCAACTTCACTGGTAAGCACAGCACTTTTGACTCTGACCTCAGTGTACTGATCTTGTTCGAAGCTCAGGGCTATGATCCATCTTTGGAGTATCATGACTATAGTACAGCACAGGTCTGGATGGGTACAAAGATGACTACTGTTGGAAGTGTCATTGGCCTAGAGCTGTATAGTGCAGTGTATGGAGCCCTTGATCGGAATTGTCCTGCTCGTCCTGGTCCGAGTGGCTGCAGTGGGGTCAAGAACTCCAATTTCGGAGGCAGGTGTATGAAGGCTTGGCCGGCGCTCACTGTACCTTGTAAGTCAACATCACTTCTGCGCCATGCCTAAAGACACTAACCTTTGATATAGGCACGACGAACATTTATGAAATTCATGCTCGCTGGGAGAGCCCGGACATCCGTCATCTCTTGATTCAAGCTGCTGCTGGCGCTTTGCAGCAGATGACCTACGAGAACGTCATAGGCCCTACCAACTGCTATGACATGGCTGGTACTAGGGCTTGTAACGTGGGCAGTGCTGTTCGAGTAAGCCCATTCCCCTGACGACTTTAAGTCACTTTTACTAACAAGGATGCAGGTTAACTTTCCTAATTCCGATGGCGGCGGAACAAACTACCTCCACTTCATGCTCTACAACTACTGGACAGACTACGGCAATTATTATTGCTGTCAGGGAAACAAGCGAGAGCGAATTGACAAGGTTTTGGATAAACTTGGTCCAAGCATCAAGGAGCAGTTCTCAGGCTGGAAGGATAAGGACTTCACTCGCGACTCTAGGTGCATCATCAACGGCTGGCAAAGCTGTTAGTAGGAAGTTATTCCTCTAGGATCTTTTCGTGGACTGGACTCAGATTGTGGTTATGAAAAGGTCTTCGTGTGGCACAGAGTTCTGAGCACTTCTAGACGTAGTACAGATGGAATGGCAATTCCACGGCCTCTTAGAATTTTACAACGGTGCAGGATGCCCGCCTGAGATCAACCATCTTGACAAACACTTGTGCTTCCAGGTCCGACTTCGAGGCGTCGATGATCTGTGCTGTGTAAACCAGATGAGAGACATTGATATGCAATGATGAATGTAAAAGGGCAGCCTGGCGACATGCAGAGGATATCAAAATAGGAGAGACCGAATCGCACTAGTGCTGGACGATGTGGATCCGTCATTGGCGCTAGGTCGCCAGCCACGTCCTTTCCAAAACTCACCTCATCTCTCCTTCAACCCACCGCACACGACTTTGTCTCTCATATTTGATATGCAGCACGTTGCTAAAGCAACAAAGCTAATAATGGGTACGGTTGACGCCTTGTTGCTGCCACGCACATCGAAGTGTAGATCTTGGTCGTTGTCAAGAAACGATGATCGGTACCGGCGATAGCAAGGAGTGGCTGTTCCGCCACATGGTAACGAGGATCAATGTGCTTCTAGTGCTTGAAGATTGTTCGGTGTATCCCTTGTCTTGCCTCCTATTCACGCTTTCCTTTGTGGCTAAGAACCTTTTCTTGCTTCATTTTCCTTCAACACATTTACGATTCCAAATCTGCGACCATGTTTGGTCTTCGCATACTATCTTCCAAACTCAAATTTTCCAGTACATCTTCCCCCCTAATGTAGCAGAATCAGTCTCGTGATTCAAAGATAGCAGCGATATTTCCACAATTGACATCTCGATCTACCCTTCAATTACGGCTGTCCGCCAGTCCATTGTCACGTAGTAACCTGGTGGCGATGGACACGGCTCCTCGAGCCGCGTCTACATGCTCACTTTCACAGTGAAAGTGCCATGAGTCAACATGATGCACAATCGACGAGCCAATCCGGTCACGCGAAAGACCAAAAGTCGTCGCCGGATCACGTATATGGTTAGCGTCCGAAGTCTTGGCTATCGATTCTACCCTCCCCCTCCGCGATTACAAGCGCAAACAACACAGACTATTGACGCGACAACCATATCAGCGGTTCTCCAGTTGGCTCTTGTACCGAGGTGTGATAACTATGAGTGACTTCAAAGCCACTCGGGGCAAAGGCTCCAAGGGGAAGTAAGTAGGAATGGAAGGACTCTGCGCGATTACATACTGAGCCGAAGTCTAGACCTACTCAAGCGGTAGTAGAATCTCCCTCTTCGCCTATTGAATCGTCGCCGCTATCAACACCGATTTCTGATGAAGGTCTTGACGCGATCGAGGCTTCTCAAATAGTCGGCGCTCATACTCTCGCTCGTGAAGATGTGCGCGGAGTTTTGAATGGTGGTACCAGCGGCCTTGCTGGAAGTCACGCAGTTCATGCCGACGAGGAATCTTCGGGCGATGACTTCGAGCCCTCATTTGCATGCCCAGATTGCGACAAGACATATACGAGTGCGAGATCTTTGAAAGTAAGCTACCCTTTTATGCAGTCGCACACATCCACTGACGGCGGCGTAGCGCCATGTCACCGACAAGAAGACGGTCTGTTACAAAGATCGTGAGAACGACGATGGCACCAGATGGTCCTGCCCCCGTTGCCAGGCACACATGAGCATTAAATTCTCAGTCATTGTAAGTCGAAACATCAAAAGCACTGATGACTACTTCATGCTAATGCTTGCCCCAGCGCCACATTCGAGACACATGTTGGAAGGTCTGCGACGAGTGCTGTGAGGCTAACAGCGGAGGATGTGACGGCCACAACGTAGCAGGGAACTGCGCTTCGTGCGAGCAGGCTGGCAAGAGCTGTACTAAACACAAAGGGTCCATTACCGATTGCGTGCTCAATGCTCATTATCGGCTCACCGGTCAAGCTCAGCTGATGCGATTA